ACTTATACAACAGGAATGGTATTGCAGCTTCTGGCCACCAGGGGGAGCATGCTTCCAATGAAAAACTTTGCTAGGTCTTACTTTTGGGGGAGGCCTTATGTTTAGCAATACAGCAAAACCTCTACTAGGTTTTATTTTCACAGGGTCTCTTATTTTGGGGAAAATGGGTATGTGGTGGGATTGTGAAAAGCTGCAAACCTTCTACAAAAAGATCAAGGGAGAAAAATTATTAGGGAGAAAAACTGAATTAAATAAAAAAAGCAATTCTTTATCCAACAAATTGAAGGTCATGAGAGGATTAAAGACTGGATTTAAATTGAAAAATGCATAATAGCATCCACCCAAGCAACAGTTGCCTTGGGATGGAAAAATGAAGTGAAAAGAGAATTTTAAAAATGGCTCAAATATTTATCACAGTACTAGCTGTCCCCTGCCACGCGTTGCTGTGGTCCAGTCTGTTGATCTGGAAAATAAAGTAATGAGAAAGTGTTGGTTTCTAATATATGTAATGTCTTTATGCTTGTGGGTAAACAGTATTTCTTGATGTTTCTTTCTCAGTGTTGATGTGGAGAGTGTCTGGTTTGCCCATCCTGGAACACACAACGTATCATTGTCCTTCTTTAGGGGTCCCTTTCAAATCTAGGATACTATATCTGTGTGTGTGAATCATATATATGTATCTATATCTATAGCTAGATGGCTCTTTGTCAGGAGGGTTTTGATTCCATTTTCTTGATTTGATGAAGGGAGTTGGATTGGATGGACTTAAGTATTTTCTGTTGGTCATGGGGGTTCTGTGTGGGAAGTTTGCCCCGATTCTGTCATTCGTGAGGTTCAGAATGCTCTTTGATTGTAGGTGAACTGTGAATCCCAGTAACTACAACTCCCAAACATCAAGGTCTATTTCCCCCAAACTCCATCTGTGTTTATGTTTGGGCATATTGAGTATTCATGCCAAGTTTGGTCCAGATCCATCATTGTTTGAGTCCACGGTGCTCTCTAGATGTAGGTGAACTGCAACTCCCAAACTCAAGGTCAATGCCCACCAAACCCTCTAGTCTTTTCTGTTGGTCAGGGGAGTCCTGTGGGCCAAGTTTGGTTCAATTCCATTGCTGGTGGAGTTCAGAATACTCTTTGATTATAGGTGAACTATAAATCCCAGCAACTACAACTCCCAAATGACAAAATCATAATTTTTTGAGTGATGGTCACTCCTTGTGTAGTGAGACATTTTGTTGCCAAATTTGGTGTGATTTCGTTCATTGGTTCTTTTGTTTTTAAGGTACTCATTACGCACAGAGCATTTATATATATATAGATATGCTCCAAGACTACATATCTGAAAGGAGAACAAAATATATGAATGGCCATCCAAAGGAGAACCAGAAGTTAAAGAGGAAAGAGATTATAGTCAGAGCAAAGAGGATAGGAACATATAAGGATCTGAACAAAAAAAAATCACTATTGAACCATTAATATAAACCAATGAGAAGAGTTACATCTGTTCCCGGAAAGAGGGGATGGGAGTGGAATTGTGGGGATAATGGATAGGTATAAGCAATGGATAGGTATAAGCAATAGTTGTTTGAACTGTAAAAGATAAAATGTAATAAACAGAATGTGTTATATGAGGTAAAAAACAATAATAAATTGTGTATATGCAATTGTGACAATGTTACAAATTAGTTACATCTAACCAATAAAAGATTAATCACAGGTAATAATAATGATATATGAAACTGCACAGCAAAACTCAGATATATTCAAGAGCAAATTAAATGGCAGAAGTTTGCTGTGTGTGTAATGATTACTAAGATGATAGAGAATGGTAGTTTGAGTTGCTATAACCTAGAACAGGCATGGGCAAATTTCGGCCCTCCAAGTGTTTTGGATTTCAATTCCCACAATTCCTAGTAGCCTACTGGTAGGCCAATAGCTGGTAGGCTATTAGGAATTGTGGGAGTTGAAGTCCAAAACACCTGAAGGGCCGAAGTTTGCCCATGCCTGGTCTAGAGGCTGGGACTTGGAAAATCTCCCTCCCCTACCACATCCACTCATATCTCACTTTAGGCAAACTGGCTATTGGCAAACCCATTTTAGGGTATACTCACACCTATTTTAGGGTTAACCCAAGATTTCATTATATGGGGCAAAGGCATGCTCTCCCTGTTCATTACTATCTCCTCCGAAAACAACCTACATTTCCTCAAAAAGAGGGGGGGGGGGGCAGTTTAGAGTCTATACCAAATGTCAAGTCACCACTTTAAACAATGTTGACAGAAGATAAAGAATGACCTAGCTCTTAATATTGCAGATAACCATGAACACTTATTCAACGAAGGCTACACATATATTACAAGTTTGGGGACCCGTAATGCTGCTGTTATAATAATAACTTGCTAATATCTTTCAGAGCTGTCCTATTCATCTTAAAATGATTACTACCCAGAGGCTATTACGTGGATGCTATTTTTAAATAAACTGTAATCCATGGTCCATTACAAGCATCAGGAGCTTTGCCAAGCACTCTGCAGTTCTCACTCAGGACTTCAGTGAAAACAATAGAACTTTAACAAGATGTAAATGAGATGCTGTAGGCTAGGCCTGGATGTTGTCTTCTCTAAAAACAACAGCAACAATGGATGAATATTTGGCTTTGGTTTAATTGCTCATTGTTTTGTCATTGATTCAGATGTGCTGATACTTAATAAAAAAAATGTTTATGGGCCATATAGCCCATTGAAAAGATGGTCTATCCTAGGTATGGGCAAACCCAGGCCCCAGGGGCCGGATGTAGTTCCTTGGGTTCTTTTCTCAGGCCCTCCTCTCTCATGCCATCCTATCCTTCCTTCCCTCCCTCTTTCTCCTTCTTTTCCACTCTTTCATCCTTCCATCCCTCTCTCCCTCTTTCTCCTTCCTTCCTTCCTTCCTTCCCCTTTGCCTTTCCTTCCTTCTCTCTTTCCTTTATCCTTCCCTTCCGCCCTTTCACCCTTCCTGCTCTTTTTCCTTCCTCCTTCCATTTCTTCCTTCTCTTTTGTCTTTCCTTCCTTCCCTCTTTCCTCCCTCCTTCTCTCTCTCCCTCTTTCTCCTTACATCCTTCCCTTCCTCCATTTCATCCTTCCTTCCCTCTTTCCTTCCTCATTCCCCTCCTTCCTTTCCTCACAAGGCAGCCAGTCCTCCTAGCAGGGAGTGCTAGCATGTGGCCTCCAAGTTAGAAAGTTTTCCTATGCCTGGTCTAGCATTTCTAGTCGCTATAGAAACTATCATGTAGGTTTGGATATTTCAAAGAAGCAGCTTTAGCAAGATGACAAGACCCGTGATAAACAGATGAACAGAATGAAACTGAAAGTAGCCGTGGTCGGCAGCCGCATGGTCTGTTGAGGCTGAAAAAAATGGCGTTACAGCTGGCCAAAAGAGCCAAAACAGCTGGAGCCCATTTTGGAAAAATAGATCTATGCACAGTCCTAATAGATACAAGTTCCAGTGTGAACATGATCACATTGTACCTGCCTATGAGGATCCCCTTAAAGAAGAGAAGTCCCAAATATTGTGGGGGAGGGGAGGATAGAACTAAACAGTAAACAATGGCAGAATAGAGCTAATCTTTTTTGAGATAAATCAGTCAGTTTTGCTTTCCCCAAATTTGAAATTTTAAAATCTCAGGTTCTTTTTATCATGTTTGTGAAGAAATTGCCTAAGCTTCCAGTTAGCACATTATGATTATTTTGTCTAAGTAAGAAATAGGAGTTCCCTATGTGTAGATTTGAAGGCTACTTCCAGAGCCTCTGGATCTCAAGGCCTGGTCTTGAGTTTTAGATTTGACTGATAGTCTATGGTTCATGAAACAAGAGGGTGAAATTTTCGGGTGAAAAAGCTGTCTTTATATATAGTACGTTACATACATACCACATTTCTTTGATTCTAAGATGCACTTCTTCTCTGTATAAACAAGTCTAAAAAATCTTAGAATTGCAGGTGCCTTTTGATATATCTAAATAATACTTTTTTGTTGGTGGTGCTTCTTACAATTGATGGTGTCTTAAAATTGAAGAAATATTGTGTGTATGTGTGTGTATATATTCATACATATATACATATGGTCTCCATTACTGCATAAAATCCTGACTGTTTCAAGACAGTATAAGCCGACCAACTATAAACCGAGACATCTAATTTTACCACAAAAAAGTGGGAAAACGTATTGACTCGAGTATAAGCCAAGGGTGAGAAATGCAGCAGCTACTGGTAAATTTCAAAATAAAAATAGATACTAATAAAATTACATTAATTGAGGCATTAGTAGATTAAATGTTTATGAATATTTACATAAAACTGTAATTTTAGATAAGACTATCCAACTCTAATTAAACTATTATTCTAACCTTCTTCAATGTAAATGTGCTTCCGTATCCTTCCAGTAACAATAAAGAGAGTAAAATAATAAATGCAGTAATAATAATAATAGTAACAATAATAATAATAATAATAGAGTAAAATAATGGAAAAGTAAAAATAACAGTAATAATAGAGTAAAATAATAAATGTAAAAAATAATAATTGAATAAAATAATAAATGAAACAACAACAACAACAACAGAGTAAAATAATAAATAACCTTGACTTGAGTATAAGCTTAGGGGGTGCTTTTCACTCTCAGGGCTGAAAAACGTGGCTTATACTCGAGTATATACGGTAATCCATACACTACTAATGTTGAAGTGGCTTTGATCCTGATAATACAGGCAGCAGCTACTCCTTTATAAATCTGTCAAACATGAATCAATGTGAATTAAAATGTTCCTTTTCTAAGCGCTGATATGTGAAGCCCACCTCCCCACCCACATCCTTTCCCTGACCTGGATTGGTAGCTCAAAAATGGCCATGGATTGAGAACGAAGAAGGAACAGCTGTTCCTTTTGCTGTCTCAGGAAATCTGACAGCCCTGGGAGCCAGGCTGGGGGCTAATTATAAACTCTGCGCTGGGTGTATTTGTGTCTGTGGGAATGTCATTCCCAGCCCCATATCCCACACCGCCTTGATAAGTTTGGCTCAGCAAGAAAGAGGTCCAGAGGGGGCTTCAGCCACCCTTGTGCTGGGGCAGGGTGGGGGGGCTGGTTGTAGGACAAAGGAGAGCCAGAGAAGGGGCAAGACAAGCCTGCCTGGAGAAAGCAACTGAAGGAGAGTGATCATGGAGACCACTTTGGCCCAAGATGACAGCTTGAAGAAAAAGCAACAAAAGGAAAAAGCTAAGAAAGCAGCCCTGGAACTTCCTCCCAGGCCTCCCCGATCTCTCTTCTGCCTCACTCTCCAGAATCCAGTGCGCAAAGCCTGCATCGCTATTGTGGAATGGAAGTATCCTTCGGTGAAAACTATGGGGCTGGCTCTAGGCTGACATGTATGTGCTATGGGCACCAGCTGAAACAAAAGGCAAAGGGCTGGGGAATATTTATTATCAATGAACCTTGTGAAAGATAAGCCCTGAATATGATTTTCTCTGCTCTAGAAATGCTAGAAAGCCACTGAATTTTGGCATTTATGTCTGATAGGAGAAGCAGGGAGGTGAGGAGGGAAGGAAGGTATTTAAGAGAAAAGTACTGCATTGACCCAGTCTGAATTGGTAGGTGGACATGAGTGTGATTTGGAAAGTACTGTAGCAGGAGTAATAGTCTTCTGTGGTCATTCATAGATTAAGAAACACTTGGAAATGTACAACTGTAGAATCCATTATGGTTCAAAATGATATGCCATGGATTCCAAAAGAGATCTGTATGAGTACAGAATGAAAGTGTACAGGTTATTTCATCTAGCTTCTCAACTTCAGTACATTGAATATAGATACAGCTCCTTCCCACTTTTTACATATCTTTGAGGAGTCAAATAACATTCAATACAAGGGCCAATGCATTTTACTCTGTGGTAGTTGTGAAGATTAATTTTGCTTAAGAGTCAATATATTGTTTTATTAGATGTGAGGATATAATTTTCTCAAACTCAAAATCAGCTATCAAGCCTTCTTTGATAGCATGGAGCTTACCTTGCTATCATGTAACGTAATTATGTGGATTATGCTATGTCTTGTTCATTTATATTGGTCTATAATTTATTGAATTGTCTTTAATTTATTGAGTTCTTTATATATTATTATAGGCATGGAATGTTTGTCATGGTGTATTTTGTTGTAAGGTGCCCAGAGTCCCTTCGGGAAGATAGGGTGAGCTATAAATACAGTTTCATTTTATTTCATTTCATTGCTTGCTGGAGTAATCAGATTTTTAAAAGAAGCTATTTCTGGAAATGTGCACATGTGTCTCCTATGCGGTAGCTTGTTTTCTCCTGCTTTCTGTTTTTGACATACTATAACTTGGACAAAATGGATTAATTGCTCCAAAGAGCTATATTTGAAATCTTTTAAGTACTTCTGGGCTGAGAATGGGAGAAGAAGCTCAGGGCTTTGGATTAGGTTCCCTTCTTTATGTGTTTCTGAGCCTAATGATTTTATGCTAAAGTTAGTGGTGCAAAAAAGATCATAACTGGTGTCAAGAAACCGATCATTCTTGTATAAGTCATAGAATAAAATAGAAATCCAGTTGTTATTTAATATTGGTTAAAGGATGGAAAATGTAATGTTATCCTTTTCCCAATTAGTTTAGTGAAAAAACAATTGTGTTAGGACTGTGTACAGTAGGAAGAAGGCTTGTGTCTTTAAGCTAATTTATAATTTGAACAACAAAACAAATGACAGGTGATGCCAGCAGAAGCCCTATATACTTTGGGTCCAACCTATCCTTGAGACCGCATCTCCTACGAACCAGCGTGGGCACTAAGATCTGTTGGGATGCCCTTCTTTTGGTCCCACCACCGGCACAAGTACGGTTCGTGGGGACGAGAGAGAGGGTCTTCTCAGTGGTGGCTCCTTGGCTCTGGAATACCCTAAAGAAATTAGATTAGCTCCCTCTCTTCAGGCCTTCTGGGTGAATCTAAAACATGACTCTTCAGACAGGCCTTTGATCCTGAGTAATCCATGACCAATGTGATGAATCATTAATAGTACTGGCCCACACTTTGATTGATTGTTATGACAGATAGCCAGCTGGCAGGTTTCACTGTGTATTAGGAATGTTGTAATTTTCAAATTCTTATAATTTTATTAATGAGATTTTTATGCGCTGTTGATTATGTAATTGTATTTATAGTTATATATTGTCATCTGCATGTGGTGCTTGGAGTGCTTCTGTGAGCTGCCCTGAGTCCCTTTGGGGAGATGGTGGCAGGGTACAAATAAAGATGATGATGATGATGATGATGATGATGATGATGATCTCTCAGTTGGAGAATAAAGATTACTCCCTGAATGCACTGATTTTAGGCAGAATTTGGAGGCTACTGATACAAAGTATAATTGCTTTCTGTTACTTTTTTTAACTGTTACAGAGTGTGTAACAGTTAAAAATCAAACTTTATAAACGACATAACAAGTAAGAGCAAAGCTACTTGTACATGTAGCAGCATCTATTATTAAAAGGTACTGTTAATGGCATTAAAGAGGGACTTTGACAGACATTTTAGAGTTTTATGCTAAAACACTAAAGGTTTTTACCTTCAAAAAGCAGCACATTAATGTAAACATAAAAAGCAGAATGTGTAATGTAATAAGTAAACACTCCTTATCATCATCATAAATAGCAGGACAGATCACTTTTTAAAGACTGTAATAAGTAATGAAATACTTTTGACAATACTTTTGATTTTAAGCCCATCAAAGCTAGCAGCAGGAAATCTGACCTGTAAGAGAACAAAAGCACTTGAATTTATGGGAGAGAGAAATTAGATTCTTGTCCTTAGAATAAAAACGAGTAATAAAAACATCACTCAAGGCTAAAACTTTTACATCTGTCATGAACTCACCCTCAGTATCTAGCATTGGGTTAGTAATATTGATTTATAAAAGAAATAAATTATGAATATACAGTAACTGAGATAATACTATTTCTGATAGCAGTAGCAAAAGTATGACATATGCTGAAGCTAATGGAACACTCGCTTGGAGGCTGTTACAAAGAGATGGGCATTTTAGGAGGTGTGAACAGTGCATGAAGGTGTTTTCTGTTTTCTGGAACATCTCAAGGGATGTGTCTGCATCTATTCACAAGTCACATAGACACAAAACTTTATTTTCTCCCATTGATATAGCTGTCCTCTGCTTTCACTTGCAGATCATAATGAGTTGCTTTGCTTCATTGCATTTCCTAACTTAGTGTCCCCCGAGATGGCTATAGCACCTTTCCCCCTTCACATACTGGAAACTGATTCACTCTCAGTTTGGTTCCTAATATTAGAACTCACTTGCTATCTTTATCTATTGGATGGGCACAGTGTCACTTGCTCTATGAATCTCATAATTTAGCTGGAAATAATTTATTGTGTGTTGATTCCAGTATATAAATAAATGACTCCTAAATGGGAAAACATAAATTCTTGATAGTTACACCATCAGTGTATTGATTTTTGTTGTTGCTGTTGCTGGTTAGATGTGCCTTACAATCTCATCACATTGATGAGGTCCAGTGTTCTGATTCGCCAACCTCCATGATGAGTCAGCGGGGTAGCAGGGCAATTCCAGTGCCCCGTGCCTCACCTCACTACCAGCTGATGCTTCCCCATCACATGTGGAAAAGTGTCACTGTGTGGCTTCCCCTCGTGTTAGCCCCGTTGTTCCAAATGGAACATGGCGGAGGCTCCCATGTTGGTGGCACAGTGTTCTACAATGCTGCCAACCCAGTTGACCCACAGAGCCCCACTGGAAGTGAGGCCACATAATGTGATGGGTGGCATGAGGCTCCATGGGTCATTTGGGGCAGAAGTGCCTTAGGATACTGAATTTCCATCATGTGATGTGGTTCTTAACATAGAATAAGTTTCTCTAGTTAATGCTGGAGTTAAATATATACTTTGATGAGCTGGAGTTGTTTAAGTAATAGGAAATCATCAGGGTTGGTGCTTTTCCATTTGACAGATTCAGTAAAATAGGAAGGCTGACTGCCTGCCTGCCTGCATGCTACTTTAGAAACTGAAGGATAAGAATTGGATAAGAATCACATAAGAATTTATTATTATGTACTTTGGGATGCCCCATTCCCAGGTGACTGTTGTGTTATTGACTTTATATTCCAAGTTGGTCATTGGCTTTTGTTTTGTTTTTGTCACATGGCATGTGTAGGAAACTCCTGAGAGAGGTTGTCTAGAGATCAGGAATTTAGTGCCACCAGTGTGCTGATGACAACAATTCTATCCCTCCTTTCAGTGTATCTCCAAGGAAGCTTGGAGTCTGTAGGTAATGTTGATTGGATTAGAGAGAACAAGTTGAAATTTAATCTGGTCAAGGCAGTAGTGTTCCAGGTCAGTTGAAAGGCAGATCAGGGAATCAACCTCTGGTGGATGAGGTTACACTCCCCTTGAAGAAGCAGGTTGTTTGCCTGATGCTCTTCTGGATTCAGCTCTGAACAGTAAAAACTAGAGCACCAACCAAGCCTGTTCCTTGAAATGTCTAACTTGTTCAGAGTGGTACATGCCGTAGTTGCATCCTGTCTGAATTACTGTAAGACACTCTGTGTTGGTCTGCTTATTTAGAAAAGTTCAACTGCTCTAGAGCACTGCAGCCAGATTACTAACTATACTGATTACAAGGAGCATACAAGTCTCTTGTTGAAACATCTTAATTGACTGCACAATTCAAATCAAGGTTTATTGCTGTTGTTTTGGTGTGCCTTAAAGTACTGCATGATTATCAAACACTAGGTGTTTTGGACTTCAGCTCCCAGTCATTGTACAAGCTCGCTAGGGCTTCTGGGATTTGGAGGCCCCAAAATATGGAGGCCCACAAGTTTGAGACCCCAGCTATAGTTGTTAATTCAATGCTCTTTTAGTCATAGCTTTTGCTCTATTAAACCATGTTGTTTTCAGTGCAATACTTTCTGATTTGCAAGCTGCTTTGAGTTCCAGATTTTGGGTTGGTGGTGCTGAGGAAGCATGTAAAAATAAAGAAATGATTGGGTAGAAAGAAGAATATGATTTCAAAGTATCAAAAAAAAAAAAACCCTTTTGTAGAAGCTTAACAAAACCAAAGGGTCAATTGTGACAAACCCCATTTCATTATCTCAAAATATGCTTTGTTCTGATAAGTAATGGTCCAAATAATGAGTTAGTCAACACTAACCCATCTAAATTGTGCATTCCTACATGCCTGAGAGTTGGGCTGGATGGCCCTTCTGGTCTCTTTCAACTCTATGATTCTGTAAACAATTGAATTCAAACACTGTCAGGTATCCCACAAAAGTAAAAAAAAAAAAAGGCAAATATCTCTGTCCCCTCCCCCCAGCAACCTTAACTGTTAATACTTTTGCACATCTGTAGTTTATAGGTCAACTTATCTATGAGTACTGTGCCACTCTGAATGGAGTAGTGAAAGCCAAGAGCTTCATCCAGGGATCCTCAAGCTTTTTAACGAGGGGCGGTTTACGGTCTCTCAGATTCTAGGGGTGGGGGGTGGGAGGGGCCGACTATAGCCTGAAAAAAACATGAACAAATTCCTATGTAGTGCAAAAAACATGAAAAAACAATATAATATTTAAAATGAAGAACAATTTTAGCCAACATAAACTTACCAGTATACCAATGAGAAGTGTGGGTCTACTTTTGACTGATGGGATAGTCAAGTTAATTAGGATTAATGATGTTGTGTGTCTTTAAATCTTTTCAGACTTAGGACAACCCTGAGTTTAAAGGTTAAGGCAGGGCTGGACAAATGACCTTGTAAGGTTGCATCCTATCCACAAACCTTACTTTGGAGACCCCAGCTTAATCTGCTCCAGGAAGACCTAAAAGAAACCTTGACACTATTTATTTTGTTTCTGGCATGTTTGAAAGCCTAGGCAGTGGCAGTTCTTTGGCACCTCTCCTCAGAAGAGAGCGGAGAGAGTAGGGGATCAAATACTCATTTTATGTTCTCCCAGAATGAACTAAGCCCAGGATGGTCCTTGATTTATTCATGGGTGACATCAAATTTCATACTTTTGCTGCCAAAACCTTCCCTCAATGCATACATGAAGTCAAATTATATACGAAATTATATATGAATAGATACAGTACTAATAAAGGTGAAAAAAATCTTGAAAAGCATAGATCAAGAAGTGGTTGTTGTTTCAGTTCAGTGACATGACATTTTCAAAATAGGCCTGAAGCACCTTCTATGCTTTTCATATTGCATATATGGGTTGGCCTTAAAACTGGAGAAAAGTTAAGAACTGTTTCAGTGCAAGTGTTCTTAATGCCCTTTGATGTGTGAGTGGGAGATAAATTACATTAATCATTGAGAAGGTCAAGTGATATCTCAAAACAAACAAGAAGCAGAAGTGTGTGTGTGTGAGAGAGAGATCTTTGCATCAAATTACATTAGTATACATCACAAACAACCTTGCATGCCCCCAGCTCTCTGGATACGTTGTAAACTGCCTTGCACCCAGAAAACCTCACATGGAAGAACAGAGAAAGTACATTTTGGCTTTGGTAGAACAGAAATAGTGAATTTCTAGATTTTGTCTTACTGTTATTTTACTATTGCATAGCAAACCCACATTTTTCAGGTGTAAGAGGAACTCAGTGAGCATGATGATAATAAATGTGTACTTTTTGAGATTAAGTAGCAAATAATACAGTTCTTATATTCAAAATACTCTTCCTTCCTCCCTCTTCAATGACTAGCCCCATCCATCTCACTGTGTCACTGTGATAGATACCCCCAATGCTCATTCTGATATAGTGTGAAGGGGATGGGGAGGTGATGTTCCCATAACTAGATGCAGAACAGTGATATTATCTGCTTAGACCTCCAGACAAACCCAGTAGATCTTGGTGGAATGTCTTCAGTCTGCATCTGGCTATGGTAGTGTTTCTCAACCTGGGGTCAGGACCCCTGGGGGGGGGGGGTCACAAGGGGGTGTCAGAGGGGTCTCCAAAGACCATCAGAAAATGCAGTGTTTTCTGTTGGTCATGAGGCTTCTGTGTGGGAAGTTTGGCCCAATTCTATTTTTGGTGGGGTTCAAGGCGCTCTATGATTGCAGATGAGCTATAAATCCCAGCACCCACAACTCCCAAACGTCAAGGTCTATTTCCCCCTGATATCCACCAGTGTTCACATTTGGGCATATTGAGTATTCATGCCAAGTTTGGTCCAGATCTATCATTGTTAGAGTTCACAGTGCTCTCTGGATGTAGGTGAACTACAACTCCAAAACTCAATGGCAATGCCCACCAAACCCTTTCAGTATTTTCTGATGGCCATGGGAGTGCTCTGTGCCAAGTTTGGCTCAATTTCATCGTTGGTGGAGTTCAGAATGCAATGCTCTTTGATTGTAGGTGAACTTAAATCCCAGCAACTACAACTCTCAAATGACAAAAATCAATCCATCCTCCCAACCCTAGCAGTATTCAAATTTGGGTGTATTGGGTCTTTGAGCCAAATTTGGTCCAGTGAATGAAAATACACCATGCATATCAAATATTTACATTATGACTCATAACAATCGCAAAATTGTAGTTATGAAGTAGCAACAAAAATAGTTTTGTGATTGGGGGTCACCACAACATGAGGAACTGTATTAAGGGGTCACGGCATTAGGAAGGTAGAGAAACACTGGGCTATAGGAGCCTATCCAGACACTTCTCTCATCCCTTCTCCTCTCTACCGATGATAGAATGGCTGTTGCATGTGGCTAACACATCAACATGGCAAATCCTAGGATGAGTGATACAGAAGCCATAGCAGTTTCATGTGAGGCATTCTTAGACTATGGGCCCTTCTACACTAACAATATAATCCATCTCGGAATCTGTTTGTGATGAAAGATTGTGCTGCGTGGGCAATCCAATTGCCATGTCTGGAACCAGTTTGAAGCCAGGAAGGTGATTATATGTACCATAGAACCTGCCCTCAAACCACTTTGCAGGGTTCCCCCTCCCCACATTTACTACAGAGATGCGCAACAGCATACCAGATGTATAGGGGTGGAAACAAATGAGAAAGCTATGGTTAGCAGCAGATGCAATCAATTACCCTACTCAGGGGGTTGATTCACCCCCTGCAGCATAGTCATGACCTCGGGGTACTTTTTGGCAGCCCCCATTGAGGATTCTTACTGTGCTTCAGCGTGGGCAGGTTTCTACCATTGGCTCCATATTTTGTGGATGTCACAATTAAATCTGGGATACACTGACATTTGCAGCAGTGCATTCCTTGACAGAACTCAGACTTTTTTGAGGACCTTTTAATATGCATAGCATATATTATAGTGTATGTACCCTTAGAATGGCAGAGTGTCTACCATGACCTCAAGTTAGCTTTAAACTGCATTATATGGTAGAAAGAAGGACCCTCTGTGTATTCATATGGAATTTCAGCCTGCTTGATTGTGTGTAACCAAAAATATTTTAATCGTAATGTACTTTCAAATGATGTACATCCATTTAGACTTTTCTTTAATAAGCACTGTCAGACCCTTTGAGACCATTATCCTGCTAACCATCATTGCCAATTGTGTAGCCCTGGCTATCTACCTGCCCATGCCTCAAGATGATACCAACAAAATGAATACAAGACTGGTAAGAAATTCCTCTCTTTCTACTGGCATGTTTATCATATTAGCTTCCTCATCTCCAACAAATGGTCATTATATTTACTAATATTCAAACCTTACATATTATTGCAGTATAATAACTGTTGGAAATTCTCAAAGAAACATGGCAAATACTAGATCTAGTCCCTAATGCAGACAGTTGAAACCTCTGACCATTTAGAATAACAACTTTTATAATAGTGGTATATTGTTATTAAGTATATCCTGAATTAATTATTGTGCACAGATAGACCTCAATTATTGTGCACACTTTTTTAACTGAAATGTGCCTGTAATGTTTACAGACACAATTAATGTTTTCAGAAGTGTGTCTGTAAACATTACAGGCACACTTCAGTTAACGAAGTCTATGACAAAGAAGCCATTTTTACAAAATCTTTTTGGCCCACCTAATTCCGCCTTATCCTGTGTTTAACTAAAGAGTTTCTTTCAGCAGTACTGGCACCGAGACAACAATATTTATTTATTTATTTATTTATTTATTGTGTCAGGCAACCAAATAGTTGTGTTACATTTTTGACAGAACAAACAAACAAACATATAAAAGACACAGAGTTTGCAAGCTTGGTAGTTGATTAAATGTCCTTTGACCAGTATCTGGCCACTTGGAGTGCCTCTGGTGTTGCCGCAAGAAGGTCCTCCATTGTGCATGTGGCAGGGCTCAGGTTGCATTGCAGCAGGTGGTCTAGTGGTTTGCTCTTCTCCACACTCGCATGTTGTGGATTCCACTTTGTAGCCCCATTTCTTAAGGTTGGCTCTGCATCTCGTGGTGCCAGAGCGCAGTCTGTTCAGCGCCTTCCAAGTCGCCCAGTCTTCTGTGTGCCCAGGGGGAGTCTCTCATTTGGTATCAGCCATTGATTGGGGTTCTGGGTTTGAGCCAACAATATTGAGATAACAATAGAGGATAGGCATAAAAGCCTATCCTCTTATTGTGTATCTGCAATATTGTGTATCTGCAATATTTCAATATTTCAAGTAATCTATAGCCCTGATAAAAAAAGAGCAACGTTGAGGAAGTATGCATTCTATGGAAGGATATTCCAAAGTCAGGATGGCAAAATAGAAAAGGCCCACAGGTCTGTATGCCAAGTCTGGTTCAATTTCATCATTGGTGGAGTTCGGAATGCTCTTTGATTGTAGGTTAACTATAAATCCCAGCAACTACAACTCCCAAATTACAAAATCAGCCCCTACCCAAACCCCACCAGTATTCAAATTTGGGCTTATTGCATATTTGTGCCAAATTTTCGTCCAGTGAATGAAAACACATCCTGCATATCAGATATTTACATTACGATTCATAACAGTAGCAAAATTACAGTTATAAAGTAGCAACAAAAATAATTTTATGTTTGGGAGTCACCACAACATGAGGTGACCCCTCATGTTAAGGGGTCACCGCATTAGGAAAGTTGAGAACACTGCCTAATGGAAAAGCAGATGATACTTAGGAAGTTGCTTGAAATACAGCATTCCTCTATATTTGTGGTTTTGACTTTTGATGATTTGATTCAAAAATATTCTCACTAGGTCCTCCAATGTGACTCTGGCTGAATCTATACTGCCATATAATCCAGTTTCATAATGCTTCATAATGTTTCATAAGGGTCCCATAGCAAAATATAGTAGAAAATCCAATAATTTCTTTGTACCTACAGATTTTGTAAATGCTAAATTTTTCATATAGTTAGGGATAGTACTGAAAGAGAAACTTGATACATAGTAAGCTCCACATTTTATACTCTGACCTTACATTTTGAATTCTATGATGGGAACAATCATCAAGCGGATAACGCAAACATGAAGGAAAGAAAAAGAAGCACAGTAGAAGAATAAAGTAGGATCCTAAATCATGTCATACATACAGATGTGGAAGAATGATATTTCAGTAGAGAGAATGTCCACTATGAGATGGCTTTCTCAAGAAGTCAGGTTCCGCTCCATTGAACAACACAGCTGTGTCTCTCAAACTTTCCCATGAGTGCAAGCTATTAAAGGCATAGACAACCTGTCCAGGATGTATGTTGACTGTCATCACTGTAACTCAGAGAGGATAGCCAAATTAAGACCTGGGAATGTTGTCTGTAGAAATATGAGCCTTGCATTAGATAGCATTTAGCAGTTCTAGTTATTAGGTAGCCATCCCAAACAGGAGAAAGGAATGCCAATGAAAGAAACCACTAGTATGAAGGGAAAGATGGGAAGAAGCCATTAATAAAACCCATAAGTCCCACCTCTGAGGCTTTCCCCCCAAGTTGTAGTCAAATCATATCCTTATCCCTTATCCCCCAAAGCTTTTCAAAAACAGTCATGAAAGGATTAATTAAAAACAGTAACTGCCCTCTCTGTCCCATGTAACTGAAATAAAGATAAACATTGGTAACCTCAAACAGTTTCCTATTGAAGCATGCAAAGCTTGGCGGAGAAGAGGCACTCGGCATTTTGCAGGGAGTTAAGGGTGATGGACAGTTGCAGCTGTGAATGAGAAGCAGGCAACAGCAGTCTCTGATGTGAACTTGGTGGATGGGGTGGAGAGAGAAAAGTACAACCACAGTGACTATTCTAAGATGTGAATGCCAAAGGTGGTCAGCCATGCTGAAAGTCAAGTCAGATGTGGCACTAAGTGGCTGAGAATGGATTAGTCTTAAATCAAGTCAGAGTAGCCCTCTCATTAGTGCTTATAAAGTTTTATTTTCCTTTGCTAGATCCTTGTTAGATGTTGTCTTCCATACCTCAAAGTACCGACACAGACCTTCTACACTGCCACATAATACAGATTATCAAAGCAGATCATCCACATTATCTGCCTTGAACTGGATTATATGAGTCTACACTGCCATATAATCCAGTTCAAAGCAGATAATCTGGATTTTATATGGCAGTATAGAATAGGTCTGAGATGCACTATAGTTAGACAAAGTGATGGTAGAGGAACACTGTTCAAAAGGCAATAGGGACCCCTGGTTTATGCTGGAGGCAGGCATGTAGCTGGGGGGGGGGGCTTGGGGGGCTTCAGCCCCCCCCCCCGAAATTCTCATGGTGTTTCGCGAAAAGGCCTTACTGGTGCATTATTTAAACTGTTATGTTTATTCATATCATGATCTGATCACCATACTCAATATATCCCATATGCATGGGGGTATTGGGGTAATGATACAAAAGGTTTGCTAGGGTAGACCCTCTTTCACTCAGACTCTCCCCCCCCCCCCGAAACAAACTCAGCCCCCCCCCCCCAAATCGAAATCCTGGCTATGGGCCTGGCTGGAGGCATAAACCTGAAGAAGACTTCTTTGTATAAATACAAAACTGTCTAAGTAATCAATCTGTGAGCATATATACATATATGCACATATGATAGTGTTTATACATTTTTCAATACTGTCATCACTGTTAAGCCAAGCATCATATTATAGTCATCATGGACCACAGGCAGCTCACTGAAAATGTCCTTTAGCCATCAATCTTTAGGGCGATATTGATTCACATGTTTTAGCCAATAGTGTTTAATCTGTTTATGTTTAATTGTTTGTTTAATTGTTTATTATGTTATTGCACCAACACTGAATGTTTGCCATTCAATGAGAGAGGGTGGGTTAAAGATAAAGTAGTTGTTGTTGTTGTTGTTGTTAATAATAATAATAATAATAATAATAATAATAATAATAATGCATCAACACTGTATTGTAAACATCAATGGCCAGGGCCTTGTTGGACTGTTTGATAATCCAGCTCTGATTAAAACAGATCAGTCAAGTGTTTCTGACTATTGCGAAAATTTTCTGAAGATGCTCTGAATAGAGTTCATAGACCATAGTTTGATAACCTATATCTTAGAGTAAGATTCTAAGTAGTTTGCCTAATAGATATAAAGCTAATGCCCTGGGTAGTTGTATTTAATATCCGCAAATCATAACAAGGTCCCTCATTTTGCTAGATTGACTGTGGATAGTTTTCTCCTATTCAGCTTTAATTAAATTTAATCCATAATCATGGTGCAATTGCTGATTAGGTTTACACATTCTACAAGCATGCTATAAATGTGTAGTTGTGTTATTCTGTGTGTACTTGTATAATACAGTATTTATAACCGTACACTTATTTTTCTCACTGAAATCATTTTATGACCTGCATTAACTAAACAGAATTATCTGGTTGCATTCAAATGTCACAAATGACCATAATTTAGATTGACATGATTTAATCTAACCAGAATTTGGGCTTGCTTGCTTCCCTTTCCTGTCTCTTCCTTCAGCATGGCTACGGAGAAGGGTTTGGAAATGTTTGCATCATCTGTTTAGCATCTTCTGAACCTTAAATAATTGTTACTATTGTTTATATTAAAGTGCCATTTTTAATTAAAAACATTTTGAATTGGATTTGTTTCAAACAAATCAGAGAGAACATTAGTCACTGTTCTATCAGTTATAAACATCTATGCTTGAGGAAAGCATCGGAAGTTCTGCTTCAAAGTGTCAAACCATATGAGGTGAATGGGCAGTGGTGGATAACAGCTTTAATGTAACAGAAGATAAATGAGTTTTAGTCTAAACTTTAAGGACCTTATCATATTAGCCAGACAAAGTGTCCTGCTTTGCTGCCAAAGTGAGGGGCAGATGGGGAGAATCTGTCGCCCTGCACATCGCTATAGATAAGCTGTCCTTATTTTGGGATTGCACTACTGTTCAATGAATGTATAGTGAGAACAATACTGCCTACACAACACTTATGCATCCCTGGGGTTTAGGCCCCAACATGGTGCACCAATCATTTTTAGTTTCAAGGCATTGCATGTCTGCCCTTATGTATGTATCTGTTGGAATCTGCCCTGAGTCTCCTTGGGGAGATTGGCAGAAAATAAATAAATAAATAAATAAATAAATAAATAAATAAATAATATTGATGTTTCCTGGTGGATCCTTGCTGTGTTTCCCATCCATGGGAGCAATGTACCATATGAATGTATGAGAGAGTCTTTTCTACTTTAACATCCCTATTGTGGATTGCCTCTTGGAGGCCTGATTGGAACGGTCATTGACTTCATTGTGACATATGGCTAAGACTGTTTTTTTAGACCAAAGCCATGAGAAACCAATGATTTCTTTCAAATCTACAGAGGTACTTGGTATAAAACTGTTTTAAACTCCCTTGGGAGGGAAAACTATTTTATATAGTTTTAGAGTGCTTAAATTATTTCTTACTGTTTAAATTTTTAATTGTTTTAGATTGATTTTACTTGTATGCTGCCTGGGATCTTGTGATATAGGACAGGATATAAATCAATTAGTGATGTGTGCATGCATACACACATGTGCATGCCTAGGAGTATATTCTTTGTAAAATATATATTCATAATTCATACTTTTATCCATATTACTAACATTTTCACACCTTTTCCCTCTCCTTTTGGGTGTCCTGCAGGAAAAACTAGAATACTTCTTTCTTATAGTATTTGCCATTGAGGCAGCGATGAAGATCATTGCCTATGGATTTCTATTCCATGCAGATGCCTACCTCCGAACTGGCTGGAATGTGTTGGATTTTACCATAGTCTTTTTGGGGTAAAGTCACTCTATTTTATTTAGTTTTGTGTGTAAATAATGGTTTAGGGATTGCCAGGGAACAACCTTTTTTGAAGAAGTAGTGTTCAGGTACATGGAAGCAAGAAACCAGTGTGGTTTAGTGGTTTGAGTGTTGGACTAGGTCTCTGGAGATCAGAGTCAGAATCTCTGCTCAGCCATGAAACCTACTGGGTGACTTTAGGCAAGTCATTCTCACCTAGCCTCAGAGGAAGACAATGACAAACCTATTCTGAACAAACAATGCAGAGAAACCCCTATAATAGGTTCAGCTTAGAGTCACCATAAGTTGACCATAAGTTGTTAAAGGCCACAACAACAGCATGGAAGCCGCAATCCTATATACAGTGTTCCCTCGCTACTTCGCCGTTTGCTTTTTGTGGACTTGCTGTTTCACGGTTTTTGCCTCTCAGTTTATGAATGTTGCTGTTACCCAGAGCGGCATTCTAATTCTGCCTCCTGGCAATGATGGTGTGTGGAAGGGGGGTTCACCCTCCCCCTTGGGAGAGAAGCAGCCAATCAAGAGAGATTGCATAGCAAAGCAGAGATAGCTAGCAAAAAAATAAGTGTGCCGTGCCTTTAAATCTCACTTCTGCCTCACTCTCGGAACTCTATATACTTATATAGCATCCCTACTTAGTGGATTTTCACTTTTCGCGGGTGGTCCTGGAATGTAACACCTGCAATTAGTGAGGGAACACTGTACCTAGGAATGTATCCTTATAGTCATATATCTCTTGATTAGACGCATTGATTTTTGCACATTAAACATGTTGCTGTTGTAAGTCTATGTCATAAAATGCGGTGAAAATAAGTTTTGAAACCATATGTGCCTAGAAGCTGCAGCCTGTAATATTCCTGAATGTTGAGGAGACGTGTCTTCACTTCTGTTTCCAGTAAACAGTATACACATTTGATGTACAATTTTCAATTTGAGTTATTTTCTCTGCATGCTCAGAAATGTCCTAAAGAAACATTTGTGTAAACCAGCTATCCCACTTGACATATGAGTTCCATGTTATGCCATAAGTATAATTTTTGAGTGACTTCAAGTCATTTCCATCTTATGGAAACTGTAAGGCAACTCTATCACAATGGAGGCTTTTTTTCTTGGCAAGATTTATTCAGATTGGGTATGCCATTATATTTTTCCGAGACTGAAAGGATGTGCCAAGACGAAGGTCACCCAGTGGGTTTCAATGCCTGAGCAAGAATTCAAAACCTAGTCTCCCAAATTCCGAACCTGACATTCAAACCACTATGATGATATTTGCTCTCATTAGGTATAGGCCATGGATATTCCCTGTCATATTTCACATACCTGTACTATGGAGAAGCTGGCAAGAAGTGAGCATTTGCTGCATCAGCTAAGACAGAATTGCCAGTAGCAACATCAACAATGATGTTGATGAATGCCTTTGTCATCTTATTTCATTGCCGCACGGAGAGGACACATTAAATCACACAACATGGAGACAGTTGCCATGCCACAAACTGTTGCTTTACACTGTAAAATCTACAGCATCCTAGCTGTGTAAAATTGACTATTTTTTGCCATTCTAGTGCATAGAATGGATAAGATGTAATTAAATGACTTAGGGCCCTTCCACACTGTCCCTATATCCCAGGATCTCATCTCAGATTATCTTCATATCCAAGATTGACAGTGGGGACTTGTAGATTCTAGTTTAAAACAAATAGTATGGAATGAGATCCTGGAATAAAGGGCAGTGTGGAAGGACCCTAAGTCTATGTGGAGAGTAGGATTGATAAAAATTAAGTATCTGCATTTTTTCTTTAATAATCAAAATAGAGTTTTGAAAATTTAAAACTCATTTCCAAATTTTCTAAAAAGTAGTTAGAAATACTAATTATATACATTATAATTAAATTATATCTAAGTCTAAGCAGTTTAAGGAGAAGAGAGATAACTGGATGTACATAAAGTACAAATGTACACTCTCTCACTCTCTGAGTGAAAAAATAGAGAAGGCCAATAAACAGAGAATGTGGGGAGTCGAGTAGAACGGAACAAGAATAGAAATGTAGATATAAATTTATTTACAGCATTTTCCCCCACCCTTCTCGGACGGCCCGGAAGCTTCAGCTAGTCCAGCGCGCGGCAGCCATGTTACTAACAGGAGCGGGACGCAGGGAGCACACAACGCCCTTGTTGTTCCAGCTCCACTGGCTGCCGATCTGCTACCGGGCCCAATTTAAGGTGCTGGTGTTGGCCTACAAAGCCCTAAACGGTTCCGGCCCAAAATACCTTTCTGACTGCATCTCGGCCTATGAGCCCACGAGGGCCTTGAGATCGTCTGGGGAGGCCCTTCTCTCGATCCCGCCTGCCTCACAGGCACGTCTGGCGGGGACGAGAGAGAGGGCCTTCTCGGTGGTGGCCCCCCGGCTGTGGAACACCCTCCCTGTAGACATCAGACAGGCGCCCTCCCTTATGTCATTCCGCAAGAGCCTAAAGACATGGTTATTTGAGAAGGCGTTTAACTAAGTGCTACAACAATTGGCAATGACGACTGGAACGGAATATGGATTACGAGATTGGTTTATGATTCTACGATGAGACGGCGCGGATGATCTAGTGTAATTATATTATTGTTGTATTATTGATAGTTATGTTGATATTTCGTTGTGCTATGGCTTTATTGTAAACTGTTTTTATATGTTGTACACCGCCGTGAGTCGCCCTAGGGCTGAGAACGGCGGTCAACAAATGCAGTAAATAAATAAATAAATAAATAAATAAATAAATAATTCTCATCCCTTAAGGGGGGACTTTAGAATGCAAACTGAAAATTAATCTGAAAACAATTCAGGATAATTAGTTAGTATGTGGACTACCTTATTACGAAACCTAAGTGGGGTCAGGTCTGGTTAGCATTTGGCTCAGAGATATTAATTTATTTATTTATCGTGTCAGGAGTGAACCAAACAGTTGTATTTTTTTTTTAAAACCACACACACAAAGTTTGCAAACTTGGAATTCTATTAAATGTCCTTTGACCAGTAGCTGGCCACTTGGAGTGCCTCTGGTGTTGCTATAAGAAGGTCCTCCATTGTGCATGTGGCAGGGTTCAGGTTGCATTGCAGCAGGTGGTCTGTGGTTTGCTCTTCTCCACACTCACATTTTGTGGATTCTACCTTTGTAGCCCCATTTCTTAAAGTTGGGGCTCTGCATCTCGTGGTGTCAGAGTGCAGTCTGTTCAGCTCCTTCTAAGTCGCCCAGTTTTCTGTGTGCCCAGGAGGGAATTTCTCATTTGATATCAATGAATGCCAGTTGTTGCAAGAATTGCAAGAAAACCCTATACATTTCATTGGGCTGGCATCAGTCAAAGGGCAATTTGAAGGCAGCTATACACACTCACATAGACTGCAAAGTGGCTACAAAATGTACATTCATCCCAACAGAACCATAAGAGCCCACCTTCACTTTTCTCTTAAGACACAAGGAGAAAATATCTACTCTACCTACCATTATTTCTTGCATGTCTACATTGTTACTACATTGTTACTACCTGTCTTTTTTACCCCATCATCTCTTTAAAGCGTCTTTACAGTCATCCTGGAGAAAATCGATGTAATGGAAAACGCGCTGCTTAGTGGACAAGGCTTTGATGTCAAAGCTTTGAGAGCCTTTCGAGTCCTGCGGCCCCTGCGCCTGGTGTCGGGAATACCAAGTGAGTAAAACTTTCTTGGAGTTTGATGACTGGATGTGCATGTGGAAGACCGGGATGCTTGGACACAATTTTTTATAATCCATTTCATACATAGATTGTAGGAGAAATAAAAAATAGAAATAGATGATGTTCTTAGAATAAGCTGGGGGTGATGGTAATGAATAAGCAGATAGTGTAGTTACAATACACAATGAGCTCCTCTAGAGCGGACTGATGTGATGGGAGTTTGTTGAATTCATTGCTGAAGTTTTCATTTAACTATCCAAATGATGTTACTGTTGCTCCAGACTATTTTCTCTGAACTCCTGCCAGCAGCTGCAACATTTGATTCTGGCCATCAAGTAGGTTTCTTTTTCATTCTGAGACATATCAGAACAATTTGTTCCCTTCTGCTCCCTTCATATATAATGCATCAGTACATCAATGAAATGGCACTTTTGCACTGTAACTCTGTAACTGAAAAGAACATTCAGAGAAGAGGAAAATTTGTCCTTCGAACACCGCAGCAAAACAACCCATTAAAAAACTGGAACAACCCTAATGCTGAAATCACTACAAATGGTCCTTATAAAGAACAGAAGAAATGGAAGTGGAGGCAATGATTTTGTTGTTCATTCCATGACATGGCCTCAAACTGTGGCAACCCTATGAATGAAAGACCTCCAGGTCACCCTATCAACAACAGCATATTTCCAATGAGTTGATTTTCTTCCTATCAGCTTTCTTCACTATTCAGTGAATGGAGAAATTATGACATGGACCATCCTAATTTTGTGCTGTCAAAGGCTTTCATGGCCAGAATCACTGGGTTGCTGTGGGTTTTCCAGGCTGTATGGCCATGTTCCAGAAGCATTCTCTCCTGACGTTTCACCCACATCTATGGCAGGCATCCTCAGAGGTTGTGAGGTTTGTTGGAAAAACAAGGCAAGTGGAGTTTATATATCTGTGGAATGTCCAGGGTGGGAGAAAGAACTCTTGATTAGGTTCTTGTGGGGTTTTTTGGGCTATAGGGCCATGTCCTAGAGGCATTTCTCCATTTCTCTAGAACATGGCCCTATAGCCCGAAAAACCCCACAAGAACCTAGTGATTCCAGCCATGAAAGCCTTCGACAACTCTTGATTGTTTGAGGCAAGTGTGAATGTTGCAATTGATCACCCCAATTAGCATTGAATAGACTTGCAGATTCAAGGCTTGACTGTTTCCTGCCTGGGGGAATCCTTTGTTGGGAAGTGATTAGCTAGCCCTGATTGTTTCTTGTCTGGATTTCTCCTGTTTTTGTGGACAGTAAATAAAGAACAACTCTCAAAAAATGCCTCTAGGACATGGCCCTATAGCCCGAAAAACCCCACAAGAACCTAATCAAGAGTTCTTTCTCCCACCCTGGACATTCCACAGATATATAAACTCCACTTCGTTGTTTCCAACAAACCTCACAATCTGTGAGGATGCCTGCCATAGATGTAGGTAAAACGTCAGGAGAGCATGCTTCTGGAATATAGCTATACAGCCTGGAAAACTCACAACAATGCATCATAATTTCAGTGTTCAATGATGACATATGTACACTTCAAGATCAACAACATGGGGTGGGGCAAAGGTAAGAATATGATGTTTTAGAATGGGTAAAATAGAACAGTTTGTCCTGGCTCGGATCAAGTTGTTTGTTGCTATGACTTGTGAGATGTAGGGCAATAAAGTTTACAGATTAAATTGGAGTTTAGTGTGTGATATTTGGAATTTAGGTGTAAAGGATAAGAATAGTGTAAATAATTTGCTCTCTTCCTCTCTATTCTAGGTCTGCAAGTGGTACTGAACTCCTTAGTCAAAGCCATGATGCCTCTGTTTCACATTGCTGTGCTTGTTGTCTTTATGATCATTATCTATGCCATCATGGGGCAGGAGCTTTTCAAGGGCAAGATGCACAAGACCTGCTATTACAATGGGACAGGTAGGGGAGGGCTATGATTTGGCCAAAACAATAAAGATGCAAAAGATATTTGGGGCAATAGAAGAATGTCAACGAAGCAGAGTATCTACATCTGATGCTCTTGTGGGACAAGGCATTTAATTTTGTGAAATTCTGCTTTACTTAGAACTGGAGGTTGGACTATATGCTAGGCTATCTAAGATGCTTATTGGAGCCAGTTATAGGCACTCGATAAGTCCCTTTTAAAAAAGCAACATTGGCCAATGGTTCATTTCTGGAAATTATTCAAAGTGCTGATCATGACCTATAAAACTCTATATAGTTTAAGTCCAGACTATCTGAAAGATTGTATCTCCCTATACAGCCCTGCCAGAACTCAGCTTTATAAAATCCCAATTATCTCCTTTGAACTGGATTGTATGGCAGTGTAGACTCAGATAATCCAGTTCAAAGCAGATAATGTGGATTATCTGTTTTGATTACCTAGATTATATGTCAGTGTAGAAGGGGCCTACGCTCTACAAGGGAGGCTTTCTTTCAATCCTGCCACCATCACAGGCTTACTTGGTGGGGACATAAGAAGGCAAATATGTTTCTATTCAGTCAGGCTTTTGAAATGTAGTCATTCTCAGGGAAGAAATTGAGATGTGCACTCTGTTTTATGTTTTTAATTTATTTATTTTTAAAAATGTTTAAGTTATTTTTAAAATTGTATTCTTTTCACTAATTTTGTTTGTGAGCTACTTTGGATCTCACTTTGGGTAAAAGGTGGCATAGAAATGAAATCAGATAGATAGATAGAAATATGCATTAATCTTTTTCAAAGTCTCACAAGTGACTCTTTCTTTCCTCCCTCAGACATCTTGGCTACTGTGGAAGGTGTAAAGCCAGCTCCATGTACAAGCGCAGGCCATGGGCGCCAATGCACTATCCCCGGTTCTGAGTGCAGGGGCAAGTGGCCAGGACCCAACCACGGCATCACCCATTTTGATAACATTGGGTTTTCTATGCTGACTGTCTTCCAATGTATTTCCATGGAGGGGTGGACTCAAGTCCTCTACTGGGTAGGCTACACATGAAATGTTGTTGTAGAACAGTGTCACATGCTACAGTATGACTCTGTGGTTCCTGTGAGTAAACCATTCCACAAAATGAACATCCCATTAGTGAGGGAAGCAGTACACATCCAGGGGATATTTAAGACATGGCCTCCATTTCCAAGAGCCTGATAAGTCATGGAGCCTCACTCTGAATAAGCCTCTTGGTCATCAGTGATTCAAATTAGGAATTGTTCATTCAGATCAGTCCTGTTAGCAGAGTCTTGCTTTATTATAAATTCATAGTGGAAAACATCAAAAGTAAGAAAACAAACATCTTGCATCAGATATCAGACCCTAAACAAAACATTTAGAGTCCCAAACTCCAAAACGCCATAGCTTCTACAAAAGCTCAAGGCTATAGCAATAGCAGAACGCTGAGGGACGCTGAAAGCTGCTGAAGGCTGCTGCTGGCTGCAGGCAGATGCAACACATTATAACCACAGTAATTAGATCCACCTGCACCCAATTAACCAAAACCACATCACAAGCATTTCAGCAATTAAAGATACAAACTTACTTATACATACATAACCCAAATACATACAATGAACAGATAAAATTTTGCACATTTTTACAGTTCTCCTGACAAGTCCATCACAAGGTACTGATAGAAATATAAACCTGATTAAGCAGTTACCTTCCAGATTTCCCATTTTATAGAGTTTATGAGGTTTGATGGATAAATAATGGTCTGTCCTCACTGTTATCTTGTTGGCTCACCAGACTCTATACTTTCTTTTTTGAACTGGAAATTTCACAATGCACCATGAATACAAAAATTCTTGTAACCATTATTGTGTCATTTCTTTTTTGCCTTAGATAAATGATGCCATTGGCAATGAGTGGCCCTGGATCTACTTTGTTAGCCTCATTTTACTTGGGTCGTTTTTTATCCTTAACCTGATCCTGGGTGTGCTGAGTGGGTAAGCACATCTGAGCATCTGAGATGTTATTTACCTTCTGTATGTTATCATGGAGGTAGGAGTATGTCCTAAATGTGACTTAACCATATCCAGTCCTTAAAGAGAAAAGGTGGTTCTGGGTGATTTTTTTAATATTATGAAATAAAGTAAAGGAAAGGTGGTCAGTTGAAACATTCATACCTAGCTCCAATAGGCAAGAGTTCCTTGTCCCACCCTGGTCATTCCACAGATATATAAACCCAATTTTCCTAATTCCAACATACCTCACATCCTCTGAGGATGCTTGCATAGATGCAGGTGAAACGTCAGGAGAGAATGCCTCTAGAACATGGCCATATAGCCTGAAAAAATCGGCAACAACCCAAAGTAAAGGAAAATTTTCCTGAACCAATATACTGATGCTCCTGTCTCTTCTTACTGTTAATGGTGCAAGTTAGTCTCCTGTGCCAGAGGAAAGCAGAGGAAAGCAAATAAATACTGTTAAGTGATGGGATACATTGCAAGGAAATTACAGTAGAGCCTCGATTATCCAACCTTTGCTCATCCAGTGTTCTGTCTTATCCAACACAGTCTGCCTCCCACTCAGAACCACAGCTGTTTCAATACATTGCAATGTTTGGTGCTAAATTAATAAATATTGTAATTACTACTTAATGTTTTCATGTATTGAACTGCTTTTTCTGTCGATTTGTTGTAAAACATGATGTTTTGGTGCTTAGTTTGTAAAATCATAACGTAATTTGATGTTTAATATCCATTCCCTTAATTCCTCCTTATTATACAACATTTTTGCTTATCCAACATTCTGCCGGCCCGTTTATGTTGGATAAGTGAGACTCTACTGTACACCTCTGTTGCTTACATTCAGTTGATTTTCTGTGAACACATACAAAGTAGCTCAAGTTTTGTTTCACTGGCACAGCAGACCTTATGCAACGTCTTGAGGCCTTAAACAACTAATTATGTACTCAAGATCTGAAACTTCCACAACAATCTACTACTGTCTGGGGCCATTCGTTTCTTTTGCATCTTTATCTCTCTAGGAATGACTAATGTTGGAAGAAGGCAACTAAATTTTATTCAGGGTAAATCTGGAAATTGGAATCCAAATATTCCTCTCCTTCCCCATGTAAACAAATATTTTTCCTTGGAAAATAGAACACCTATAATCAGGGAAGAAAATATGAAAACTTAAATTTCATGACATAATGATGATAATGCTAGCAACCTTTGGAAATTACGACACTGTTTATATTCCCTTCATCTCACCAAGCCTGGTTTAAAGGTGACGAGTTTAGACCATTCTATCTCATTTCCTGCTAGTGTCTTAGAAATAGCTTTCAGGAATTTATTGCAGATAACATCACTTTTGTCCATTCTAATTTGGGACTCAAAGCATTTTTATGTAGATTATTTAAGTACTCCTTTCAATAAGCCTGTAAAACAAGATAATTTACAGTATGTGTATTCCAGATCAAGAACCTGGATCTTGCATGAGGTTGTGCAGACATTGAGCTGCCCAACCGAGAACAACAATTCATGAGCTTTAATTATTATGTAATGCCACTTCTCATCTAAATTCATTTCAGGGAGTTCAGCAAAGAGCGTGAGAAAGCAAAATCACGGGGCACTTTCCAGAAACTGAGGGAAAAGCAGCAACTAGAGGAGGACATGAAAGGCTACATGGACTGGATTGTACATGCAGAAGTCATGGACAGTGAACGGACACGTGGTGAAGGTGCTAAAGCTCATCAAGCAGCATTGCCTGACTAACGGAAGAAAATAGATTTCTAGGGAAATTTTACAGGACAGAAATTCCTGGAAATTCTGATAGAAGAGGTTTCCAGAGTATGGTATTTGTTTAAGGGTCAAATATGATGAGTGGTTAACCACTGCCAAAGGTTTATCTTGTTCCTGGCTTGGGCATGGAGTGGTTTAGCTCTTCAAAATTAAGCTCTTCTATTGGAACAATGTACTGGAAAGAAAAGAACAGACACGGGGCACAATCCAGTCTGAAACACTATCTATGGAATGAGGATCATGGATTACCTGAGGTGTAATTGTCTTCAAACACCTTTCCTCTTCACTCTGGATATGACTTTCATCCCTGTTCCCTTTAGCTAAACTTTTCTATGTACAATTAAGAACCCAATACAGCTTTAGTATAAATTCAAGGTGCTGATGATAAACTTTAAGTCCTAAATATGTTGGGATTTGGATACCTGAAGGACATATGACTGTCCAAGAATAGAGGTCTCTTGCAGGGACGCTCCTCTGGGTCTGAATGATATGAGCAATTCATAGGAATAGGACCTTCTGGATACAGAATGCCCTCCCATTAGAGGGCCAATTGGCACCAATTCTGTTGTCATTCTAGCACTATGTCAAAACATAGCTTTTTAACTAAAGTCTTTGGGGGCTAATTGATTTTAACCAAATGTTTTGTGGTCTTAATTACTTAAAACTAGTTTAATTGGTTTAAATTGCCCTATTTTCACTGTTATGTGGTATTCTCAAATTATTCCAACTGTATTGTCAAAGGCTTTTGGAAACCATTTGGAGCCATGGAGAAGAAGAACTCAACAGGTCCCTGGACCATCTTAACAGCATCCACCCAAACATCCAGTTCACTATGGAAAAAGAAAATGAAGGAAGACTGCCTTTGCTAGATGTCCTAGTCATCCGCAAACCAGATCAACAATTGGGTCACACCGTTTACAGAAAACCCACACACACAGATAGATATCTACATAAAAACTCCAACCATCACCCAAGTCAAAAAAGAAGCACCATTAAAGCCTTGGCAGACCGTGCAAAAAGAATCTGTGAACCCCACCTCCTCCAAGATGAACTGAACCACCTCAACTGGGCTCTACAGGCCAATGGATCCTCCACCTCAGACATCAGGAGAGCTGCAAGACCAAGAAGAAGGCACGAGAGTCAAGATGAAGATCCACCCAGAGGAAAAGTGTTCCTGCCATACATCAAGGGAACCACTGACCGCATAGGGAAGCTGATGAGGAAACACAACATACAAACAATCTACAAACCCACCAAGAAAATCCAACAAATGTTACGTTCAGCAAAGGACAAGAGGGATCCTCTCACCTCTGCAGGAGTCTACCGTGTACCATGCAGCTGTGGACAAGTCTACATAGGGACCACCAAACGCAGCGCCCAAACACGAATCAAGGAACATGAAAGGCACTGCAGACTACTTCAACCAGAGAAATCAGCCATGGCAGAGCACCTGATGAACCAACCTGGACACAGCATTTTATTTGAGAACACAAAATGCTGGACCACTCTCACAACCACCATGTCAGACTACACAGAGAAGCCATTGAAATCCACAAACATGTGGACAATTTCAACAGAAAGGAAGAAACCATGAAAATGAACAAAATCTGGCTACCAGTATTAAAAAATTCTAAATTGCAACAGCAAAAACAGCAGAGAGAAAAACAGGCAGGGACATCTAATCACCTTTCAAGAAGAGTTTGCTCCAGGCACTGTCAGCCCATTGTATGCTAATCAAGGTGGTCAGTTGCAAGATTCACACCTAGCCCAACTTACAAAAGCCCTTTGTCTCACCCTGGTCATTCCACAGATATATAAACCCCTTTTTCCCAATTCCAGCAGACCTCACCTCTGAGGATGCTTGCCATAGATGCAGGCGAAACGTCAGGAGAAATGCCTCTAGAACATGGCCATATAGCCCGAAAAAAACCACAAGAACTGAGTTATTCCAACTGTTTTAAACCCATTTTCCTCATCATAGATATTTGGTAAGATGCAAGTATTTAAATACGTAAATACAGACATACATACATTTCCAGTGCAGATTAGATGCCCACAGCCACAATTTTCTTTGAAAATTCCATTTATCAAAATGCTAATTGCTTGATGTCTTCTATTGCTTTTGATTGCATTCTCAAAAGGGTGTGATGACACATGAAGTTGCTCAGAAAACTATGGTTGCCCATTGCTCAGCCATCTTGTATTTCTGCCTGTGCATAAGGATGGCAAGAGAAAGGAGCCCTTACCTTCACCCTTTGTCCTGTAGCATAGCCGGCAGCAATCAGACCTTTGCACAGATGCAACAGATACATGTACAGACCAATTAATTCAAATGAAGGTTCTTCATTTTCCTGAGGATCATACAGTTAGATGAAAGTGACTTGGAGATAAAATGCCTTATGAAGTTTGGGGCAGACTTGAGACGCATAATCTTCTGTGCTCCAGCCCAACAGTACTTGAGGGGTATCTCATGGTTTCCATCAATTTCCACAGTTCATTAATTGGTTTTGCAAGCCTTTCTTTTTCCCTGTAGTTTTTTTGTTGTTTGTTCAGATGGTTTGCATGTAATTTCTGGGATACATCTGATGGGATCTATGAAAGCTCATGCCACAGATGTGTTTAGTCCCACTTAGATTAAGAGTGTCAAATCACTCTTCATTTCTTGAAATATTAGTTTGTTTGGGGGGAAAAACAGCTCTTAATAGGTACCTCTTGATCATAGAACATCTGCTGATAGCATCCAGAAATGCTGGTTGTCTTTATTTTTAGATGTTTGTGGTGTTTTCAGATATAAAGTTGCAGGAATATAATCTTAGAGGAAAAGGACAGAAAGTTAGTAGGAAGGGCAACATCTCAGACCTAGATTAGATGGAGTTGCAGGATGTGATACCAAGTGCTTATATTGCTAGTTTTATAAATACACCTTGTTAGAAATTAACTTGTGTCTCAAATTATCGAATACTGACTTCTCTCATAACCCTTTCTCATTTTCCTCAGGAATGTCATCAGATGAAGGCGGCTCAGAGACAGACAGCCTGTACGAGATTGAAGGCATGAATAAATGGATTCTTTTTTTGTAAGTTTCCTGCATACAGTTCTTAACATCCTCATGTTCTATCGTGCAGGAATGCACAAATCAAGTCACTCTGGGTATCATTTTTACATTACTTGCAGAAAAAAGTTGATTACAAAAATCATGAATCAATACCCTTCTTCCTGTACCTGATAGGACCTTGGTTTTAGACTTCCTGCATGACTACAAATCTTTCTGAAACTTTTTTTCCTGCCACTCTGAGAAACCTCTATTTCTCGCTGCTTTATAGAATATCCTTCTGTCTGTCCCCCACCTCCAAAAACTTGCTTTTTTGTTTGAACCATCATATATCTCTCAATAATTGCATCTTTCAGTTCCTTTCTTACATCTCCATTCTACACTTTTTACTTGCTGCACCCCATTGAAAAATCTCTGGGTTCTGTCATTGGCAACAGCACCCATGTTTTATAGGGCTCTTATCACACCTGGCTCTTCTCAAACTACAATCATGAAATATCTAAAAATGCTGTTTTGTAAGGATTGCTCTCTTTCCTTTTGTGCCTTTGGAACCATTCCAGGATTCCAGGATTCATTTGCATGAAAATACACAATTAGTGAGTCAGTACCTCCTCCAAGATTTGTCCCCACCCCTTTTGGCATGCAAATGTGAGTACAGACACAAAGATATCATTCACAGAAATATACATATATATATATACATTAAAAATGATATATTACATGAAAAATGGGTTTTTCCCCTCATGAGGGGCTTCTTGATTGGGATAACCTGACTTAACTAATTGCTAGCAGATGAAGTCATTTATTTGTTTACTTACTTACTTTATCTCTACCCCACTCTTATCACCTTGAAGAGGACTCAGAGCAGCTTACATAATTTCACATAATTCAATGCTGCAATTCAACAATATAAAATGGTACATTATATATATACTAGTGGTTCCCAACCTTTTTTTTTTGACCAGGGACCACTTGACCAGGAGCCACTTTGACAAGAGACCATTCTTCAACATTAGTATCAAAGGGGTTACAAATCGGTTTTTGGTCAACTTTAGATTTGGTTTGGTTATTTGGGGTACTGATTAAGAAAACTGCATTGGATAGACCACATCAGCTCTAGTTTCTAATACAGAACATATGCCATCCAGTAGTCACCATCTGCTCACCCACAGAAAACTGTATTTAATAATCTAGAGCTGATGTAGCAAATTTCTATGCAATTTTCTGAATCAGCACCCCAAATAACTCCAGGAAGAGGCCTAAAAATGAAGGCACCTCCTCTTCTAGGTGCCACATGGAACGGCTCCACTCAGGGGGAGGGAGGAGGAGGAGAAGCAGTAGTCAGGAGGCTTGTCGTTGTGCCTTTTGTGGGTAGTCAGCCTCTCCCCTCCTAACATCCCCATTGCCTCAGCACTTTAAGAGGGTTTCGTAAGGCCAGTCACTCTTGTTGCAACGGTATAGTAATGGTGAGGCTGTGGATCATATTTTGGTTCTTGTGGACCACTGGTGATCCACGGACAGCAGACTGGGAACCACTGAAACAAACAATAAAACAGATAAAACATATAAATATCATAAAATTTTAAAACTTGGGACCTAGTCTTACAGCCATCATTTATGTTGCTACATTATGTCAAATCTGTATTGCACTATCTGAATGCCTGATTGCGTAACCAAGTTTTCACCTTCTTTCTAAAAACCAGGAGAGAGGGGGCCAGTCTGATCTCGTTGGGGAGGGAGTTCCATAGCTGAGGGTCCACCACTGAGTATTTAGAACCTTCCTGGGAGGTTGTAAATAGTAAGGAAAGTAGCTCAAGTTGCTCTAGTGATATTATGTTTTGCAGGTCTGCCTCAGTTTAGCATCAAAACCATTTTGGTGAAAGTTATTTCAAAAATGCTGTGACATTCTGTGTCACAGTAGGAGTATTAAAAGAGATGAGGCTTTGGAAGACCTGGGATTCTAAAGTCTTTGTACTGATTCTGGTCAGTAATGCAAGCTGACCTATGGAACTGATTTGTCTACATCCTGATTTTAACTCACCTTGTCTCCTTTTCCCATCTAGTCGGCACTGGCGTCGATGGAACCGTCTTTTCCGGAGAAAATGCCGTGAAGTGGTTAAGTCCAAGTTTTTCTATTGGTTTGTGATCCTCATAGTTGCCTTCAACACCATCTCAATCGCCTCTGAGCATCACAATCAACCAAACTGGCTCAGCCATGCCCAAGGTGAGTGAAGCATTTCCGGAATTTTCTGAGGTGTCTTAAAATATGTATTTTATTTAGGAGTGTGGGAGTGGCAGTGCATTGCCTACTAGCCATTTATCTATAAAATTATGGGGAAATGTCCAGATGGGAAGTAATTCTGAAAAGACAGATAAGAGCCATAAGGCCCCTCCTATTACTAGTCTTCCAGTCTATATGACTTGTAGGCTGCTATTCAGTTAAATGAGAAGATATGGGAAATAATAATAATAATAATAATAATAATAATAATAATAATTATTATTATTATTATTTATCTGCCTCTAATTGCGGCTCGAGGTGAGGTACAACATGGTTGGAACAGAGAGATTAAACACAACGTAAGAAATGTATAACATCAATGCATAAGAAAGGTTGCTTGGACCTGGCAAACATACTAAGTAATGACGAATGTTAGCTGGGGGCTAGAAGTGGAAGTGCAGTTTCACAAGAGGAAAGAATTAGGTAGAGCAAAGGAGGTAGTGTAGTTTCTTCTCCTCTTTCCCATTCAGTCTCAGGAATGATTGGGTTCTTGGGAAAGTCTTCATTCTAAACCCATTCATCATCAGATGTTTTTTTCCTTACATGCAGACATTGCCAATCGGGTTCTTCTGGCCCTTTTTACAATTGAGATGATTCTGAAGATGTATGCGCTAGGCTTTCGTCAGTACTTCATGTCCATCTTCAACCGTTTTGATTGTCTTGTGGTGTGCACTGGCATCCTAGAGCTCATACTGGTGGAGATTATCTCAATGACACCCCTGGGCATCTCCGTTTTGCGGTGCATTCGTCTGCTGAGACTCTTCAAGATAACTAAGTGAGTTTCCATTTGGTAGAAACAGAATTGCTGTTAAATTTATATCACTAATATCCACATTCCTGTAGTTACAACCCTGTGTTGTTCTCATCATTCAAGTAGCTGTCTTAATTCAAGATGTTCCAGAGCCTAAGAGGGTTTTGATACAGCCCCAGAGCAGTTAATGGATTATTTGGCTAAGTGTAGATTCAGCTTATGTATTTAGAATACACATTGCTTGCTGAGTCTTACTTTTTGGTAAGCATGCTTAGGATTACGTCTTTATTTGATATTCATCTTTACTGTCTCCTTTCATTGTACATATCCTGAAGTTTGGGTAACCCCAATTTTCTGCAATGCTCTCATTTCAGAGTTATTTTTTTTTGAAACTGGTAGAAAGATACCAAACACATCTCCTTAAACTGACCTTTTAAGCTGTTTCTCATGTTGGGCTTTTTATGTTTAAAAATAATTTTATTTTGTCGAAGGCTTTCATGGCCAGAATCACTGAGTTGTTGTAGGTTTTTCGGGTTGTATGGCCATGTTCTAGAAGCACACTCTCCTGATGTTTCACCTGCATCTGTGGCAAACTTCACAACCTCCGAGGATGCTTGCTTGCCATAGATGCAGGCAAAACCTCAGGAGAGAATACTTCTAGAACATGTCATACAAATTGAAAAACCTACAACCCAATTTTATTTTGGCTTTTATTGTATGATATTCTGTAGTTGTTTATTTGTGCACTGGTTTTGTAACTGTTAACACAAGTAAATACAGAAACAGGAATAAATAAATAAAGGTTACCTTTTTGGATGTTGCTTTACCTGCTTAACTGTATTCAGGACTGCAGCCATACTAAAGAATTAGCCTTGATAGTAACATTTCTTGTATTAATAAAAGTCGCAGCTCAAGTGATAATAAAGGTTAGACACTAAAACAGTTTATATTTTATATGTTTTTCTAGTGAACTATGTTATCAGGGGACCGTCCTTGGAGATCACCCAAAGGCTGGAGCTGATATAAATGCAGTAGCTAGGTTTCTGTCGAGAGTACCATGTGCACAACTAATTACATTTGTTATGCTGGATAGAGGGCTGGATATAAATATTTTAAGAAAACAGAATAATCAAATAAATGAATCCAGTCTCAAAGGAAATGCATAAAATGCCAATTTACTTCTGGTCTAAATTAAAGATGCTTGTGATGACATTCAAAGTCCTAAATTCTTGGAACCTCAACACTTGAAGGAACACCTCTCCTTATATAAACATGACCATTGACTGAGGTCTGCTATAGGGGCCCTTCTTTGTGTTCTGTCAAAGAAAATATTAATACAGACATGAAGGTGTGGGAAAAGGCTTTATGAGTTGTGGCGTCTGGATTTAAATACTTTCCCCGGGAGGCCTCATTGGCACCAATGTTGACTCCATTCTGATGTTAAGCAAAACCATGTTTGTTATTAAAGCCTTTGAAGCTTGTTTGAGTTAACACAAAACATACATATATGTGGTTTTAAACTGCTTTAAAAACCAACTATATTTGTTTTAATCCTCTGATTGTTTAATATGCATTTAATCTATTTAAATAACTTCCACTGTTTGAAATTTAAAATTTTCTTAAACGTCTTGTATTGATTTTATATCTACACCACCCTGAGATGGCATGGTGTTAAATAAGACAATATTTTAAATAATGCACCCCAGCATCTCTTCAAAGCTAGGCATATATCATCTACCTTATTATCTGATTTTCTTTCTCTCCAGGTATTGGACATCGCTGAACAACTTAGTGGCATCTCTTCTGAACTCAGTGCGCTCCATCGCCTCACTCCTCACTCTACTCTTCCTCTTCATTTCCATCTTTGCCCTACTAGGAATGCAGCTTTTTGGAGGAAAGTTTGATTTCGATGATGAAGAGATACGGCGCAGCACCTTTGATAACTTCCCCCAGGCTCTCATCACTGTCTTCCAGGTACAATGTATGGTGTTTGGTTACCAAGTTAAGGACAGGACTGTGGAGGTAATAACTCTTTAGGGTTCAAATAGTGAATGCTTCACAGACTGATAAATGTTTCCCCTTGACATTAAGTCTAGTCAAGTCTGACTCGGGGGGTGGTGCTCATCTTCTCCATTTCTGAGCTGAAGAACCTCATTATCCATAGACGCCTCCTAGGTCATGTGGCCGACATGACTGCATAGGGAGAACATTTTAAATAAAACCACGCATAATAATATAGAAGTTCTGTTTCCTGGGATATTTTATGGGCCCTGAGACCAGACTTTTTTGATAACTGGGGAAAAAAGGGTTGTGACTTGTATGCAAGTTCTCTTCTTCATCTGAAGACTTAACAGAGATAGTTGTACTCACTGCTCACAGAAATGCCCTCTTTGTTTCTAGGTCCTGACTGGAGAAGACTGGACTTCGGTTATGTACAATGGGATTTTGTCTTATGGAGGACCAAGCTATCCTGGGATCCTAGTCTGCCTTTACTTTGTTGTTCTCTTTGTCTGTGGAAACTGTATCCTTCATTTAACTATTGTTTTAGTGTTGTTGCTCCATTAAGTCTAGTCTCATGTTAAGAGGAAAAACTCTTCTTCACTGGATTGTGTCTCTATTCATTTTGCTTTTTTTGTGTGTGTCAGGAGCGACTTGAGACACTGCAAGTCGCTTCTGGTGTGAGAGAATTGGCCATCTGCAAGGACGTTGCCTGGGGGATGCCCGGATGTTTTGATGTTTTACCATCTTTGTGGGAGGTTTCGCTCATGTCCCCGCATGGGAGCTGGAGCTGACAGAGGGAGTTCATTCACGCTCTCCCCGGATTCATACCTCTGACCTGTCGGTCTTCACTCCTACATTGCAGTGAAAGGGAATTTTTAAAAGATCAATTTTATTCCCTTAATCCCCTTTATTGCTGAACTAGTAGAAAGTAGACTCAGGCTACAAAATGTGTGCTTACCGGTGTAGTAGACAGTATAGTAATATAAGATGTTTGTGCTTTCCTTTTCTATATTTTTAATTTGTGAATTGATATCCTGTCTCTCTACTCAAAAATAGTACAGAAAGAAGCAAATACAATACAAATAAGTGATGCAATTAAAACATGAAAACAGAGGTAAAGTGCAATTAAAACATATCAATATACAAGCAATAACATCACTGAAGTAGTAAAGTCATCTTAAAGAGCAACCCATCTTAAATGTCAAAGACCTATCAGAATAATACAATTTTTCCACCCAGCCATTCAAAAAGGCTTTGTTCTATTCTGCTGAGAGAAGTGAATGTTGCCTTTTTAATATAAAAGTTAAGGTACAGTACTAACTAGAATAATCTAAAAAAGGATTAATCCCCTCTACTCTTTTTATACTCCCTTGAGGTGTAGCTCCAAAGAATTGCTGCAGCCACCATTTTCCTGTTCAGATATTCAAAAAAAGAAAATAAGTGGTATCGCAACATAGAGAGTGGACGCAATGGCTACTCCTTTTCAGTTCTTCTGAGATAGACTAAGGCCATATAATCCAGATTATCCAAGGATATAATCCAGATTATCTGCTTTGAACTGGATTATCTGAGTCTACACTGCCATATAATCCATTTCAAAGCAGATAATCTGGATTTTATATGGCAGTGTAGAACTGGCCTAAGGTCTTGTCTTTCCCCGCTCTACACAGAGAAATGGATGGCTTCTTTTCTTACAAGTGTTAAGGTACAATACTCACATTGATAAGATGGCCCAGTTTTTTGGGATCCATTTTTAACTTACATTTCTAGACTTGTACATGAGTACTATATACATTATATCCCTGGCCCAAGCTGGTTATTCATTATACTACTGAATGTTTCCTTTTCTCTGTTGATGCCTGAGTACTAATACACATAAACCCATATGCACAGACAGACATTCACAAAGTCATGAGATCTGGAATATTTTTCTGGGTTTTTTTTTCAGAGTCAAGTAATATGAAAGATGTAACAAAACAGAGTTGTATAAATAGAAACGTTTGTCCTTAGAAATATAGGTTGGATGTATTCATCTCACAGCACCATCAGATCTGCTCTGTTGTGCCAAGATAGTGTTCTCATGGCTGAAAATTCAAAGAGTTTGGCTCTAATGGATACGTAATGCTTGTCACTTGGCTGCAACATCCCGTGCTGGCTATGCAGCTGGGCCACTGCTAAACTCATCTCCCCCTTTTCCTCTACAGCATTGCATTTACAAAAGATGTAGTTGGCTTGATTTCAATTGTTGAACAGAATTCCTATTCATTCCACATGACATATTTGAGCATCAGATGAGCACCCAGTGTTTTCTCCCACTCTGTGGTCCTACATGTATAGGTGCCAGAAACTCAGTCAACTCTCAACTGTCAAAACTGTGTGTTTTTGTGAGGACCAGGGCTGGCTTCAACAACTGCTCATCAAATTTCATATTTCTGGCATGAGGAAATAACACCCACATTTCCCCAAGGATGCTGTTCTCTCTATATTATATACCTCTGATTTTGTTCTTAGCTGAATGGATTCACTTTTTAATTTAGGATGTGAATTCATTCCATTCGCCTCCTTAAGAAAAGGCTCCAAACCTTTGGCTCACTAGTTTCATGGCGCCTTAACTCATACTATAAAGTTCCTTAATCCTCACCTTACAGATATCTTACTCAATGTCTTCTTGGCTATTGCTGTTGACAATCTTGCTGAGGCTGAAACATTAACTTCTGCTCAGAAAGACAAAGCTGAGGAGAGAAAGAGAAAGAAAATGGGCAGGTCTGTTCTATCTTTTGTTGATCATGGGACGTTCCACATTATAAAATTATACTGTGGTTCCATTTTAAGGAGGTTATCCTGTGTGTGTGGGGTGGAGTGGGGGCGTCATATATCTGTAGCATTATGTCTTGTCACATTACCAAAAAAATTGTATCATTGGGTTGTTGTAGGTTTTTCGGGCTGTATGTCCATATTCTAGAAGCATTCTCTCCTGACGTTTCACCTGCATCTATGGCAGGCATCCTCATATGGGATGGCTCCATTATACGTAGTTTCCTTTCTGTATTACAAGTGTGTGGAAATGGGAACGGGGCTGTGTGGGATGTATTTATCCATCCTACAAGATCGTAAGATTTGCAGTTTAGGGATGAGTATTTAGAGAGTATTAGTTCCTTACCAGACTACAAATCCCAAAATTGTACAAGATGCAGCCACTGCTGTTAAAGTAGGATCATAGTGGTGTAAAGGCCCCACAACGCTAATTCCTTCAGGACACATCTCCCCTGTGAAACATGGCAGGATGGCTTGCTCAATTGTAAGTGGTTCTCTCTGCTCCCCAACATTACCCTTTGCTCTCCTCTTGCTTTCTTGCATTTTGTCTCTAGAGGTTATCCTGAGAAATCTGAAGAGGAAAAAATGTCACTGGTTAGGAAACTTGAATTTAAAGCCAAGGGAGAAGGAATGCCTACCACAGCCAAGGTCAGCCAAGGGTGACTGCTACCAATGTCATGTTTTATTTATTGCATTTGTGTAGATATTTTTACCCAATTACTCAAAGCAAAGCCCTTTACAATGTGGTTTTCAGAACAGAAAATTGAATCATATTTGGAAGAGACCACAAGGGCTATCCAGTCCAACCTCCTGCCATGGTGGAAATCACAATCAAGATGGTCATCCAGCCTATGCTTTAAAATCTCCAGAGAAGGGGACCCAACCACACTTCTGGACAGCATATTCCACTGTCAAACAGCTCTTACTTTCATAAAGTTTTCCCTTAGTTTAGGTGGAATTGTCACATCACAATATTTTATATTGCTCTCTTAGGGGAACAAACCCGCAACCATCGTGACAGCAAATAATATATAGCTGCCTTGCATTGCTCTTTGTTCATTTCCTGTACCATCATCAACAATGTGCATGAAAGCTTCCTCCACAAATGGGCTATGTCTCCTTCAGACCACAGTAACTGAAAGACATCCTATAAAATAGGTTGAGATGGTACAGTAAACATATAAGCTGCACAATATAATATTTGGCACTGAAGCTGTGACACATATGAACAATTTTATCATTTAAATGGCTAGAATGCAGCATGCAGCTGAGGCCTCCCAAACATTGCTCAAGAAATGGGCAAAGCTGAAGAAGTGTCTAAACACTAAATGCTAGAAAAAGTACTTGTTTGCTCACATTCCTATTGGTTTTTACACCACCTGTGTCCTTGCTTCCTACTCTTAGCTCACAGGTAAACCAGTTGATGGAGTTCTGACTCCAATGAGCTGATTCTTAAGAACAACTTGGACTTGAATGGGAGCATAGGCCATGTTAACAAGAAACTCCCCAAAGGCCCCAAACCTTCAGAATCATATTTGTGTCGACAGCTAAAAAACACTTGTTTCACACCCCAAGAGCCATATAAAAGCCACTTCAGACACTGTATATTTTTTGCTCTGAAAGTTCCCCTGTGTATTTAATTTTGTATTTCTTTTTATGCTACTATTTAGGTTAACCCACTCAAGATAGATTGTAACATAACTGGAGGCTATAAAACTGCAGATGTGATATATGTGATAATATATATATATATAGCAAGATTTTCAAAGCTAACTATGCCTTTCTTGGAGTTGTGTATACGGCAAAAATACATACATACATATATATATATATATATATATATATAATTATTCAATACATTTGTTATACATCATTTGTTTTACAGCAGACACATAATATTCAATATAATGTACCATACATTAACTTTTGCAATCTACTGTTATGCTTATATGCTTWTATGCTTATACATATTATCTATTCCTCACTACTCTGCTCACCTCTCCCCTGAGCCACAGCTTTTATATATCATCTGTCCAAAATTTCAGTTCTTCTTGTGGAGGTAACTTTCTGTCTTTCTTTTTTAAATCCCTTTTCAATAAGTTTTCTCCATACATCATCAAAATCACTTTGTTTCCATATAGTTCTTATAACTTTTAATATACATGCCAGCTTATCATTTATTGCCGATTTCCATTCTTCCTTGTACCACTCCTCTATTTGTATATTTATTTCTCTTTTCCAATTCCTTGCTATAAGCAGTCTTGCTATTGTTAGTAAGTTTGTTATTACATATTTATCCTCTTTTTTAATTGTTTGTTAAACAGGCAAAACAGTAGTAGTGTGCAACAAAGTACATGTGTTTAGGGAGTCCTAAACCAAATATGGCCTTTCTACTGCATGTCTTGATATTTTCAGTTCATTGGCCTTACTCTTTTGTTCCCTGCTGGTGCATGAGGACAGAGCCATAACAGTGACTTTTTTCTTTTTGCCTTTCACTCCCTTATGTTCAGTTGAAAGTGGATGAGTTTGAATCCAATGTCAATGAGATCAAGGACCCTTATCCCTCTGCTGACTTCCCAGGTAAGGAGGTTTCAGCTCACCTTGTCTATTCTACTACTACCAAAATTGTCTATGAGTCATTTCAGCCAAAATCTGATTTTCTGAACAGGTTATTTTCTGAACAGGTGAGTACAACTGTATATCAGGGTCCTAGATAGAAAAAAAACCCCAACAACTGGCTATGTAGAAAAAGCAGGTGCTCTGTTGCTGCATTACTTTTCTGGCCCACAACTCATTGAACAATTCAGCCAGCATGGCCATTGCTGAAAATATAATAGAATCATAATATCTTTTCAAAGTGCTGACTGATGCCCTTCAGTTGAGTGTGATGGCAACTCACACCTTTCTAGTCTGGCATGGGCAAACTTCAGCCCTCCAGGTATTTTGGAATTCAATTCCCCCAATTCCTAACAGCCAGTAAGCTGGCTGGGAAAAACTGTTAAAAACTGCAAACTGTTTTGGGATGCATTTACCTTAAAGCTTTAAACCTGAAGATTACCAGCTATGTATTTTCCTCTGTGCATGGATCAGTAATGGCAATCAGCAATTGCTTTAGATAAAAGATGAGCTAATAGGAGGAAGGCCCTATGAGGGAGAGAGCTAAACTATCATACTTTACTGCGTTTTTGTTTGAGAACAAAGAAATAAGTATGTTACTAGGAATGATTCTTTCAACCCACTTGGATGTATGCAAAATCAGGGGAGAATTTGTTTTCAGAATTTTTATAAGAGTTTACCAATATTTACAAACGTCTTCATATCTATCATGGAAAGAAGGTATGATATTAAAAACCAACATGGGAGAATTCCAGGTTGACATATTTGTCAATCTAGTCCCCAGACTCTTGGAAAGACCTCATCACAAAGGCCCATGGATTCACCACATAGCATGGCGAATCAGTGGGGTCCCAGCAGGGGGCATGCCCTACATCGTCCACCTTACCTTGACCTCCATCCCACAGGGAAAAGCATAATTGCTCTTAAGGCAACACAGGAAATATCCTATGCTGGCGCAGTGGCATACTCCACTTGCTCTCCTCTTTTGGCATGGAGCTGAGCCAGAAGATCCTGTGCATCGTATAATGTCAAAAGTGGAGAGCAAGAGGCATACAACGGAGAAATCAGTTTGTCTGATGAGGTCATACATCTGAATTTGGGCAACGAGGCTCTTTTTAAAAGTCTTTATCTTTAACACATACTTGGGTGGGGCAAACAATATGGTCCTGTGAATTATCTGCACCAATTAAAAATTTGGTTTGTACTTTCAAATTGTCTGGACTTTGATTTTCAAAAAAATAGTGGCAAGGTTAGAAGAATAGCTAGAGGGAAAGTTTAAAACAAATAATCAATAGGAATGAAGGAAGGTGTTAGTATAATTTCTTAAGCATGATGTTGCTACCTGTAAATGTTGATGAGCCTTGCTGAGACTAATCTAAGAATACAAATGGTTGTTGGTACACTAAACACAGTAGCATTGACCTATCAATAATGTGTAAAGTATTCTTAAGAAAAGTTCAGGTCTACAATATATGTGAATTGTCTTTTGGTTTGAAAAATTCAGGCATGAAGTTTTTTTAGTGACTGGCTGTGTGCCCTGTAGGTGATGATGAAGAAGATGAGCCTGAAATCCCACTGAGCCCAAGACCACGACCTCTTGCAGAGCTGCAGTTGAAGGAAAAGGCTGTGCCCATTCCTGAATCTAGTTCATTCTTCATCTTCAGTCCAACCAACAAGTAGGTCCTGCTCATCTTCCTCTTTTGTGTTCCCTTTCTTTTTCCAGTCTCTTCTCCCATCCAGGCACATGACAGAAATAACATAGCTTTTGACGTAACTATAAGACCACACATTCAAATGATTTTCTGCTTGCCAACGGACACATATCCCTATATGACCAAGCCTGCTTAACTCTAGAGATGAAGGCAACATGAAGGTATCTCCACATGTTACCTTCATCTTGGTCTTCAAACGTTTCCTGAATGGATATCAAATTAGAGCCATGACAAACATAGCAGTCAAAGTGCCAACAACAAATAGCAATTTTTATGTTAATATCTTGGGATGGAATGTCACATAAGCATAATTTCAGGAGAGAACGCTTCTAGAACATGGCCATATAGCCCAAAAAACCTACAACAACCCAGTGATTCCAGCCATGAAAGCCTTCGACAATACATAATTTCAGTTTATTCAAAACATTTGATGTGTGTCAAGAATGGTTAGGAAATCCATATTAAGAATGGATCTGTCATAAAGCTCATCACATTCTCTCATCACATTGTTATGCAGACCTGCACCAGCATCAACATGTTTGGTGCACTTAATTCATGGAGGGAGTACATGTTGGTTGTCAAATGTCGTAGGACTAGCTGTGTGCACTACTAGAAATGTCAGAGAGGAAGAAAAGGTACACATGTAATAACTAAGTTGCATAAGTAACTTGGCACAAGTATTAATTTACCTCTCTCTCCTTTCTCTCCCCCAACCTTCTTTTCAGGATCCGTGTGCTGTGCCACCGAATTGTGAATGCTACTTGGTTCACCAATTTCATCCTCCTTTTCATCCTGCTTAGCAGTATCTCACTGGCAGCTGAGGATCCAATACGGGCTGACTCCTTCAGGAATAAGGTGACTACAAAGCAGTTGTGTTACTAGCATGGTACACCAGATGTACAGACAGACCTGCAAGTGGTCTGCATGAATTATAGCAGCCCTTTTCTTGGCAAAAACTATTTGGAAAAAACATGCTAAAAGCAATGACAAGGAGCAAATAACACTTACAATGGTGTACAATATCACACGCAATAAACAACCGTAATTTAAAAAGCAGGAGGTAACTATAGTAAAAGAAATAGTAAAAAGTTAAATATATTCTTCAATATTTTAAATGCCTGAGTAATAAAAGCCTTGGGGTTTGTCTACACAAGCCAGAATCCCAGGGCTCAGTGCAAATGGAAAGCTGTCTGTTTTCATGATGCACATTATCTTGGAGTTTTTAACTTTGAACTGACTTTGTCCTGCATTATGAAAAGTCTGGGGATGCTTCAGACTTTGCTGGAAACTGTGGAGTTTCCTACAGTTTTGGAGTGGTCTGACCAACTGGACTGGGTTTGATTCAGCCCAATCCATTGTCTGGATGGGACATTGGTGCTATCACCCTTTCCCTGAACATTAGCATAAGAATAGAGGATGGATCTTGGCCATATTGCCACTGACGCTCCTAGAGATATTTCCACACGAGGCTCCTAAAATGGATTCTGTCACCATAAACCTGTCTTGCTTGAGACTGGAGTAAGATAGCTAGCTACCCTAACTTCTCCTGTTATCACATCAATCTTTATTGAAAGCCCTTCAAGAAAGCTCCAAGTGCATTTAGCTTACAGCATCTGCAGAGATGTAACTCCTTCCAAACTGTATATTCCCCATCTTCAAACATGCCCCCATTGTTTTGTTTTCTATGAGAATTGTACAACTTTGAGAGTTTACAATTTTGTAAAACTGGGCTTTTGTTTACTTAGTGTTTCACAGCTTGTACCTCTGTACACCTGTGTTTTCTTGTGCAATATAACCACTTTTTCTTTATGCATTGAGGATAATAGAAAACAGTTGTAATCCTTAGCTTTTGTAGGAATCAGGAAGCTGCTTGTATAGATCTAGAGCAATTTCATGGGAATTTGTGGAAACTCTGCCATGTGAATGAATAACAAGGTGCTTCCGTTAATCAGCATTTAAATAATGCTGTTGGCCCTGATTTTCACCACAGAATCCAATCCATGTTTTAAGGAGATGTTCCTTTCTTCAATTTTGTATGAGCACTTGGAATGTTTGCAAATGAATTTTACTGTCAAAAAACATCATCTTTCTTTATGGGGGTTTTCTCCAGATTCTAGGGCATTTCGATGTTGGCTTCACTTCTGTTTTCACAGTGGAAATCATTCTAAAGGTGAGTTACATATATTTATATATACTCTCACAAAGTGCTTCTTCTTTGCATATTTTCATTTGTGTATCATTTTTACAGTGTTTCTCAAAATGTGGTCTTCCACGTGTTTTGGACTTTAGAAACACCTGGAAATCCCAGCCGGTTTACCAACTGTTAGGAACTGTGAGAGCTGAAGTCCAAAACATCTGGAGAAGAGTTTGAGAAACTCTGGGTTAAGGGATTTAGCATACTAAGGCCCTTTCTAAATTGCCATATAAAATCCAGATTATATGCTTTGAAATGGATTATATGGCAGTGTAGATTCTTATAATCCAGTTCAAAGCAGACAATGTGGATTATTTGCTTTAATAATCAATTATATGACAGTGTAAAAAGGGCCTTAGTGAAGAACTTCAGCTAAGTGGAACTATGTGGCTTTCAAGACCGTTTTGTGTTTAGATTAATTGATATTGTACACTGGACCTAGAATATAGGTCTATATCTGAATTCAGCCTTAGAAATAATGTATCAACACATGCTCACAATCGACAACATGAAAATCCATGATAATATCAATTATTGTAATGATCACCCATCATTGATCATTACTGTAATGATTACTTGTCTCAATTATAAATATGTTTGTGAAAAAACTTTTGATTTATTCAACTCTGGGTATAAAAACACACATGTATGTAAGAGGAAATGAAATATACATATGGTCATTGCCGAAATATTAATTAAAGGCAGAAAAATGAAAAGCATAGAGAAACAGAAAAAGTAGAAAATTTAAATACATTATATTCACTGACAGAACTCGAACACAGAGGACCATTTTGGAATATAAAAACCCAAAACCTGCCCTTGACTTATACAGGAAATCAATTTACACAAGAATATATCTCCACTACAGAGTACCAATAGCCTCCAAATGAAAGATTGCTAACTGCCTGAGCTTATGGTCCATTCTCCATCATTTAGCTATCTCACAAAGCAAATAATAAATGGATCTACTACAGACTAACCATGGCTTCTTTCCCCCAACAGATGACTACTTATGGTGCTTTCCTTCACAAAGGCTCCTTCTGTCGCAACTCTTTCAACATCCTGGACTTGCTTGTGGTTGCAGTCTCCCTCATCTCCATGGGCATTGAGTAAGCATGCAATAGAGAGACAGGGATTCCAATGGGTCTTTCCTGGTTTCCTTGTGCAGTTCAAGACAATCTGTAATACTGTAATGTCATTTCCCTCAAGAGGCAAAATGGTACTGATGTTTAGCTATGTCTCCATGATAACTGAATCTGTGTAATGTGATCATATGGGAGTGTATATATTTTGCCACAGTGTAATGATAATTATGAAATATATTAAGGATATACCATATATGAAGAACTATGGGGAGGTTATATAATGGTGGCATGTCAGATTGTGAAGTCTAAAAGCTTCATAAAGAGTGGAGAGGACTAAAGCATTCAAAGCAAAGGACAATATTTACAACTGATGTTATTTATCAATCAAAATACTGAAAGTGAAATATCATTTCCTGCTATTATCTTTCCAGTTTGAAATTGGAGGTGCAGTGAGCTCCTGCAATTAAATACTGCAAATATTTTATTAGCTATATAGTTCTGCTTTTTCCTTCCACTGTTAGGACTTCATCCCATGCAATAAATAAAGCATTGGAGATCATTGTTTTTTCCTTAAGCTTTTGGAAATTAAACAAATAATTTTTCTACCACCAATACGTATTTTTCTTCAACTTTCTTTTTAAAATATCCATTTGCCTTCCCATCACATGGGAGACATTCTCTTCCCTCTGTCTCCTCCCTCATTTTCTTTTACTTGAAGAAATCCTCTATGTTTGTTCTCACAGAAGTACTTTTTAACACAAGATCATTACACGGGTTTTTTTCTATCCTATATTATTCTATATTACAATTTATAACTACAGATACCTCTCAATTCAAAAGGTAACTATTTAATTTACATAGTTAAAAAAGATAGAAATTACGATTCCTTCCTCCTCGGCTCTGAAGATTATGGTGGAAGAAAGGATCTTGGCTTCTCCCTCCAGATTGATGTCATCATTCTCCTTACAAGTAGACAATGGGGAATTCCCACCACACTTTAAATTTCACATTTTTACACATCTCTACGTGGAAAATTTAAAAAGAAGTAATTGCCAATCAACTTAGGAAGTGTAGGGGGAAAACACACTTTAAAAGTGGCGAAATACCTGGAAACCAAGGTACAAGTTTGCGTCATGTGATGGGCTCTGTCAGTAGCCGTTTCTTAAATGTGTAGAAGCACTGATTTTATTGTGTGTGATGAAGTCCTTATTCTCACAAAACCTCTTCAAAGGGTCTTTGATTCAGTTATTTACTTTAGCTAACTGTTTCAGCTAGTGGTACAATTAAGGTGATATTAGGTACCTAGCTTCTTTCCATTTTCATTACAGAGCATTCAACTGAGGCTTATAGTGTATTTGTGTATCATTTTTAACATGAAGTTTAAACAATGACAGCTTACATTTTCTCAACATTGCATATTTTCTTGTTGCTTCTTCTGAATTTTTCTTACTATAAAAAAAATTAAGCAGAAAAAGTGGAATACAATCAGCCCTCCACATTTGTAGGATTTGATTAATATGATTTCTCTAGAAATCTCTAGGTGTGGCAGAAGGTAACCATAGGGTGACATTGGTGGACCTAGAGATTCCTAAGGAAGAAAAAAAAATAACTCATGAATTTTCTGCTTTCTTGGAGTCTTGTGCCCCTAACTCCAACAAATGTGGAGGCATGACTATTTGCATAATGTCTTTTGATTTCATTCAAGCCCTTCTTCTGCATGTTAAGGTTGATACCAGAGAAAGTGGTATTTGAACTGTACAGATTGTGGTTCCCATATTGCCACTGTTTTACAACATGCATTTGATGGAAATTGTAAGCTCACTTTTCTGAACCTGAGGATTTGAAAACAATTCAGCAAGAGTCTCAGGGCAAAAAAATAGAGATGCTAGTCTTTTGAACAATTATTTTGAGGTTCCCTGGAGATTAGGCAAGTCCTGCTGAATTCTATGACTAATTTTCCAAGCCGTGATATGCCTCGTTCCATCTCTAAAAGTAGTCCAAACACCATATCATCTAAAGACGATACCATAAAGACAAATGATGCTTTAATAGGCAAGTTTGAAACTGTATATTACAATCACAGAAGTCTAATGTTTAAGGTATCTTCCCATTTTCCTGCCACAGGTCTAGTGCCATCTCAGTGGTGAAAATCCTAAGGGTACTCAGAGTTCTGCGACCACTTAGAGCCATTAACAGAGCAAAGGGGCTGAAGGTAAGCATAGTCATGACGGGAATGTTTTGATTTATTGCATAACCTGGGAATAGGTAATTGCAAGTGGGGTGTGATGCTTTTGTGGCTTTCAATTAGTACAAGTTTCAGAAATATAATATAATATATTGTATATACATATAATATTGATAATATTATAATGTAATAAATATAATACTAGTAATAATATGATAGTATAATTATATATTTTATATTACATGTAATATTATTAATAATACTACAGTATAATGGTATAGTACAATATAGTAATATATAATACTAATATTGTGCTATAGTAAGAATATAATATATTGTATTACTTGTAAGCCGCTCTGAGTCCCCTTCGGGGTGAGAAGGGCGGCTTATAAATGTTGTAAATAAATAAATAATAAATCGCTTCTCGGCCTTTTTGCTAAGATGAAGTGTAGTAAATAAATAAAATAAATTATGTTAAACCATTCTTGTATTTTGCTTGTTATTGAGAGTATTTAGAAAATCATGGGTAGACATATTTCAGCCCAACTCTTTCTTTCTCTTTTTCTAGCATGTAGTCCAGTGTGTTTTTGTAGCTATCAAGACCATCGGTAACATTGTGCTAGTCATGTTTTTGCTCCAGTTCATGTTTGCTTGCATTGGAGTGCAGCTATTCAAGGTGAGTTTTTTTCCTTGTTATATTAAAAACATTGTTGCTTCTTTCTGTTCTATAAGTTTGTAATTGAGGGATTTTCTGTGCAAATCAAGTTAATTATGTTTGCTTCCAGAGTTGCTATTTTAAGTACTGTATTTATTCTTGTTTTCCTGAACTTGTAATCCAAAGTTGGATTTGCCAGATATCTTTGGTCTGTTTCAAGTACTTGTATAACTAAGTGTGGCCTTCATAGAAGTCCTCATGTGTAAAGTAACGACTCTACTAGTATATGTCATGACCCTAAACATACAATAATGTGGACATGGCTCTAGAGCAGTGGTTCTCAACCTGTGGGTCCCCAGGTGTTTTGGCCTACAACTCCCAGAAATCTCAGCCTGTTTACCAGCTGTTAGGATTTCTGGGAGTTGAAGGCCAAAACATCTGGGGACTCACAGGTTGAGGACCACTGCTCTAGAGGTTAAGGAACCATTGGTACCAACAAATAGATAATGGAGAACAAGGAGACAGTCCCCAAGTCTAAGAAACAAGAGATCCCTTAAGGCCAGTGAATCTAAATAAGCATTGATGACTTCAAGGCTTAGCCTTGGAAAAATGCACCCTTTTTCAAGGGTTCTATAATCCCTGGATCTAAAGTGTCAATTTCAGTGCATGTCTGCCATGACTGGAGAAATGCAAAAGTATCAGGCCTCACACCAAATGCCTGTATAATTTCTGTCTTTGTGGGGAAAATGCAGCCTTGAAAGGGGAGTCTACCCAAAAAGAAATAAAAGGTATCAGTAGAGGTCATTGCCAGAGCAGTTGCAGATGTATCAACATCTGGCTTCCTTTGCAACAACACAGTTGGCCTAAATGTAATAGTATGCAATGTGTCTTTGACTACGTGAAATAATTTATCCTTGATTATCTTCTCACCTTCTCACCTTTGAATAATATCAATAAGCTAGGTTAGTGTCTTCATGGTATTAAAAAAACTTTACAATGAACCTCATTAAAGAAGACATACTAAAGCATCAGAATCTTTCATGAAACACTCAAGGGGAAGGCTGCAGTCAGAATCATTCCCAAATATCAGAATCACGAAGTGCTGTGTAGCTGATGGTTTAAAGCAATGCTTTTTTTTATTCAACTCACCAGACTAAAATTGGGAACATGTTTCTTGTTCGATGAATAAAAATAATTCCAGGTATACCCTACCCTTACCATGATGAGTTGAAAATATATTATTGTATTTTTATTGCCAGAGATGTTCGGATGTAAATGATCATGGAATTTTCTGTTCTAGGTGAAAAAATAACTTGGCCACAATTTATCTTATCTTAAATGGTAGCATTTATTCATCAGTCTCTGAGAGTAAAATATCTTGGAATGGGTCTGAATGATCCCTTTTCTTTCTTTTTTTAAAATAGTTTTTATTAAAGTATTTGAAAATTACAACGAAAGAGGGTGAATATTTAAAAAGAAGATAGAACACCACCACCCCACTGAGATTCAAAAAAATAAGAAAAAGAAGGGGAAAAAGAACATCAAATGTCCAAAAATCCAAAATCCAAAATAATAATAATAGAAAAAAAACACACCAAAAAGCAAAAATAAAAATCAATAAAAATCAATAAAAAATACTAAAGCGGCAATTTATATATAGTATAATATAGGTTTCCAGTATTTCCAATATTTAATTGTTCACTCCAATTTGAGTGTCTCTTTCCGGGTTAAGATAGTACTTGATATTTATTATCCTTTACAAAGGGGTCTTTTCCCTTATTCTTTCTTTCCTTAGCTCCTTGGCTCCAATCCTTAACTCTCCTGTTCGTTTTTCCCCCCCTTATCGGGGGATGTAATCTCCCTTTACCTGATGATGAGATTTTCTTCCGATTCTCCTTAGAGGTTCTTATTTTCTTTCTTCATTGTTGTTGTGTGGGCTGGCAACGGTTGAAATGGGCTGAACTGCCCGATCCCAGAGGGGCGCCTGACTTCCTGTCGGTTCAGACCCTCTCGACCCCCCCTCCTTGAGGGAAGGGAGTTCTTGGGGTCTACGAGACTCCCACGAGTTCACTGCACCTTCACCTTCAATCCGGTAAAGGTGGGGGAGCGATGGGCTCACCCAAAAAGCGCCTCTACGCTGGTCCCCATCGGAGCTCCCTCTCAACGAGGCTTGCCCGTCGCCATCACCCACAGGAAGTCAATGATCCCTTTTCAATATGCATACTAATTGCTGACAAATGCAGATTAGCCTTTGGAGTTTTTATTTCTGGAAGATGAGGAGACAGAAGGGGACTGGTTTTCATCTCCATTACTATCATGCATGAATAAAGGCTTAGGTAGAAACACCTACTTATCTCCAGCTATGTGAAATTCCTCAAACTTGATTATTTCATTTTCAGTGTGAACCAATGGTCTTCATATGGTATGAATCCAGGAAGTACCTACTAGATATAATATCTAGCTTTATTTTTGGAGTAGGCATACTTTGGCATAATTCTCTGATCTAAACAAGGACCATATACATTGTATATATAGGAAGGATTAGCTTGAACACAATTAAGGAGAGTTGATGATGGGCAGTAAATTCTGTACTTCCCGAGAGGAGACATAGTGTTATTGTAATGTCTATTTCCCATCAGTCAATGTGTAAATCAAATTGGCAAGATCCTAACTCCTGCTACTACTCCCACAATGCTTACTGTTCTTTACTTCAACAACAAGAACAAGATGCTCCATTTAGAATTTGCTGTCAAAAACTCTTATGCTACAGAAGAGATTCAAGACAGCAATCTGGGAAACCAGCTTGAAATCATCTGGATAAGAATCAAGGGAACTGGGACTCAAAAAGATGTCGTTGTAGGCATCTACTACAGACCCCCAAGTCAGGAGGAAGAACTTGATGAAGTCTTCTGCCAACAGTTGACCAAACAGGCACAGAAAAGAGATGTAGTAGTCATGGGCGATTTCAACTATCCTGATATTTGCTGGAAAACAAACTCGGCCAAGAGTACAAGGTCCAACAAATTCCTCGCTTGCCTTGCAGACAATTTCATGGTCCAGAAGGTAGAAGAGGCAACAAGGGGATTGGCTACTCTTGATCTCATCCTAACAAATGCGGAGGACCTGATCGATGCGGTCGAAGTGGTAGGATCCTTAGGGGCAAGTGACCATGTGCTCCTGCAATTTGAGGTACAAAGGAAGGCCGAAACTAAGACAAGTCAAACCCGCATTTTGGACTTTAGGAGAGCTGATTTCCAAAAAATGAAGGAAACACTGAGCAGCATTCTGTGGACACAGATACTAAAAGACAAGGGAGTTACGGATGGATGGGAATTTCTCAAGAGTGAAATACTCAAGGCGCAATTGCAAACCGTGCCAACAAAGAGAAAAAATAGGACAAGTGCAAAGAAGCCAGAATGGATGTCCAAAGAACTTCTAACTGAGCTAAGACACAAAAGAGACATGCACAAGAAGTGGAAAAAGGGAGAAATCACCAAAGAAGAATTCAAACAAATAGCCAACACCTGTAGGGAAAAGGTCCGCAAGGCTAAAGCAAAAACGAGCTCAGACTTGCCAGGGACATTAAAAACAATAAAAAGGGCTTCTATTCTTATGTCAGTAGAAAAAGGAAAAACAAGGAGGCGATAGGACCTCTTCGAGGAGAAGATGGGGCAATGCTGACAGGGGATAGGGAAAAGGCAGAACTACTTAATGCCTTTTTTGCCTCGGTCTTCTCACAAAAAGAGAGTCTTCAACCTCAGCAAGATGGAGTGGATGAGGGATTGGAGGACATCCAACCCCAAATTGGGAAAGAAGTCATCCAGGAATACCTGGCCGCTCTTAATGAGTTCAAGTCCCCAGGGCCAGATCAACTACACCCCAGAGTATTGAAGGAACTAGCGGAAGTCATTTCGGAACCATTGGCAACCATCTTTGAGAGTTCTTGGAGAACGGGAGAAGTTTCAGCAGATTGGAGGAGGGCCAATGTGGTCCCAATCTTCAAGAAGGGAAAAAAGGATGACCCAAACAACTACCGTCCGGTCAGCCTCACGTCGATACCGGGCAAGATTCTGGAAAAGATTGTTAAGGAAGCGGTCTGCAAACACTTAGAAACAAATGCAGTCATCGCTAATAGTCAACATGGATTTATCAAAAACAAGTCATGCCAGACTCATCTGATCTCTTTCTTCGATAGAGCTACAAGCTGGGTAGATGCGGGGAATGCCGTGGATGTAGCGTACCTGGATTTCAGTAAGGCCTTCGACAAGGTCCCCCATGACCTTCTGGCAATGAAACTAGTCCAATGTGGGCTAGGCAAAACTACGGTGAGGTGGATCTGTAATTGGTTAATGGACGAACACAGAGAGTGCTCACTAATGCTTCCTCTTCATCTTGGAAAGCAGTGACAAGTGGAGTGCCGCAGGGTTCCGTCCTGGGCCCGGTCCTGTTCAACATCTTTATTAATGACTTAGATGAAGGGCTAGAAGGCATGATCATCAAGTTTGCAGACGACACCAAATTGGGAGGGATAGCCAATAGTCCAGAGGACAGGAGCAAATTCAAAACGATCTTGACAGATTAGAGAGATGGGCCAAAACTAACAAAATGAAATTCAACATAGACAAATGCAAGATACTCCACTTTGGCAGGAAAAAAAATGCAAAGATACAGAATGGGGGACGATGATGCCTGGCTCGAGGGCAGGACGTGTGAAAAAGATCTTGGAGTCCTCGTGGACAACAAGTTAAACATGAGCCAACAATGTGATGTGGTGGAAAAAAAGCCAATGGGATTTTGGCCTGCATCAATAGGAGCATAGTGTCTAGATCTAAGGAAGTAATGCTACCCCTCTATTCTGCTTTGGTTAGACCACATCTGGAATATTGTGTCCACTTCTGGGCACCACAATTCAAGAGAGATATTGACAAGCTGGAATGTGTCCAGAGGAGGGCGACTAAAATGATCAAGGGTCTGGAGAACAAGCCCTATGAGGAGCGGCTTGGGCTGGGCATGTTTAGCCTGAAGAAGAGAAGGCTGAGAGGAGATATGATAGCCATGTATAAATATGTGAGAGGAAGCCACAGGGAGGAGGGAGCAAGCTTGTTTTCTGCTTCCTTGGAGACTAGAACGCGGAACAATGGCTTCAAACTACAAGAGAGGAGATTCCATCTGAACATTAGGAAGAACTTCCTGACTGTGAGAGCCGTTCAGCAGTGGAACTCTCTGCCCCGGAGTGTGGTGGAGGCTCCTTCTTTGGAAGCTTTTAAACAGAGGCTGGATGGCCATCTGTCAGGGGTGATTTGATTGCAATATTCCTGCTTCTTGGCAGGGGGTTGGACTGGATGGCCCATGAGGTCTCTTCCAACTCTTTGATTCTATGATTCTATGATTCTATGATTCTTTCGCTCCATTAGCAACTTGTACTTTCCATTGTGTAGCTAAAGAGAATCTCATTTCTCAGACTTCACTAACTTGTTCATCTGATTAAATATTAATTAAGTAGAAAAATGACCAATCTCTCCTTCATTACCTCTAAACAACAGTGTCAATAATTCTTTTGAATTCTGTTTAATCGTAGGGGAAGTTTTTCAGCTGTACGGATATAACCAAACTGACTGCATCTGAATGCAAGTAAGCCACTCCCTGGTTACTGATTACAATCCTCTTCTGCTATTCAGAACAATATAATCGTAACAGAACGTAAATCAAAACTAGTGTATTTCATCAGTTGTAAGATGCCATTGATTCTAAGATTATTGATTCTAGAGCTGTAATTTTAGGGGAAAAGGTAGTACTGATTGTAAGACAGATCTCTTTTTTGCTTCAACTTTGGGAATTCTTTTTTTTAGTTCTCACCCCAGCTTTAATTCTTTGTGTTGCTACCCTGCTGTCCTGACCAGTTCCTGGAAAGCCTTCCCATTGTTGCTACCTTGATGCCATTCAATAGATGTTCATAGCTTTTCCTCTCTGGGCTGCCACTCTTTGTCATTGCCATCACTGAAAAAAAAGTTTCAGGAGCAACGGCAGCAGTTGAGAAATCTGGAACAACATAATGCATTGGCACTGATTTGAGCTACAAAGGGGGAAAAAATCTTTACAGTTGAAGCAAACTTTCTTTTATGACCAGTTTCAGCTTCCCTGCTAGGAGTGGCTGGAAAACCTAAACTTTGGATTTGGGATATGGCTTCTCTCTCTCTGGACAGTTTGGCACCATCAAGAGTGGAGGCAGAAGTGGCAAAGAGACAGGAAGAAGCCCTGTGTGCCAGGAGTGAGAAGTGGCACCAATGGAAAGAAGAAGCAGTGGAGAGCTTCATACTCCTTGCACATAGGGCTTCTTTCCTGAAGCAAAAGTGGGACTAAATGTATGTAGGATCATCCTGGTATGATCAGCATGATGTGATAATGCCCTAAGTTCCATAGAACCTGTGAAGTCAGGTCTTGAAGTGTTCAATTATTTTTCTAATTCTATTTAATAGCAATGTGAAACCACTGAGAACTGTCAGATAATATTTTCAGGTTTTCGTAACAGATTACATGAAAATAATACTGGATCAAAATAAACATTTAAGGTGCCAAACTAATGAATGGAGGAAGTGATATGCTGGATTAGGGGCAACAATGTGAAGCTGATAAAGATTATGTGAATCTATGACTCACATAATGTGAGCATCCTATTCAGGAATTAGGGTGGTAACCTCCTCAAGAACTTTTCCTGATCAATATGATGCATCGTTTGGAGTTATTTCTTGATTCTAAATTGCCTAGAGGTCCATAGGGGATATTCAGTAGAGTCTTCCAACAACTGTTTCCCATAATCAAATCAGACTTTAAAAAATGTTTCATAAAAGTTTAACCTAACAATATCCATAGTTATGCTGCTGTTGCTATTATGTCCAGCAACAAAGCAGCTGACATACGGAATATTGTGAACATTTGTGTTAGTCCATTTTAGAAACTTAACATGAGCAAAATCCATTTTTATTTTAATGAAAAGTGAGTGGAATTAAGCCTGCAGTCCAATACTGGATTCTATTCTGGAATAAGTGTCCATTGAACTTCCCTGTGGACATACATAGGATTGCTCTGCAATAACATAAGTAGGCCCAGGCTCTTTGTATTTAACTTAATGGGTTTTTACATTTCAGTGGATACTACATTACGTATGTTGATGCCGACCCAACACAAGTTGTGCTAAAGGAGCGGATATGGTACCACAATGAGTTTCACTTCGATAACGTCTTTTCAGCCATGATGTCTCTCTTCACTGTATCCACCTTTGAAGGATGGCCTAAGTGAGTGTGAAATCTACTATGAGAGAGGGTGAAAACTGCTATGAATTAGCTGGCATGCCCCTGTTGTGTGTTATTATGGATGGAAAGAATATTTTAAAAAATGCAGAAAATTGTACAAAAACCATGTACATCATCTAACAAGGAGAATTTTAGATTGATGAGAAACTTTGCAGCTTGGGACATACACAGCACAAAATCCACACAATATTTTTGCAAAGGAAATAGCATTTTCTAGGCAAAAAATGATATTTCCTGTGCAGGAAAGCATATGTGAGCTTAGAGCAGCTCCCCAGATTCAATACTTTCTGCGTAGAAAGCAGCTTTTTCTGCACAGAACATTTTCTGTGCAGAAAAGGCTGTTTTTGAGGCAACCCTCATCCATATGCATATTTTACAGAGTAAGATTTGATTTGTGAATACTTTGAAAACTGAGCAGCAGCAAGAAAATTGCTAAAATTAAAATAACTCTAACCCTATCCATGCCTGTACCATGTAGTATACCTTCACAACCCACTTCTTCAATGACTTCTCAGCCATGCCAATTAATCTTGACTGTTATGCTATTCTTTCCAGGCTGCTCTACATAGCAATTGATACCCACACTGAAGACATGGGCCCTATATATAACTATCGCATGGGCATTGCCATTTTCTTCATCATCTATATCATCCTCATAGCCTTTTTCATGATGAATATCTTCGTTGGTTTTGTCATTGTAACCTTCCAAGAGCAAGGCGAAACAGAATACAAGGACTGTGAACTGGACAAGAATCAGGTAAAGTACATTGGGTCAATGGGAAGAAAGCTAAACTTATTTGCAAACTGGACTTCTAAGCAAGATGGGTATGGATGGTATCAAAAGAACAAAGGGTTATTCTTGGATTGCAATATGTAACACAATTTTTGTTCCTGGGTTATAAATGTCTTTTCCCAATTGGTTCTATCATAAAAACATGGGAAAATTTATTAAACTGCAAAAACTTTGTTTTTGCAGGACATCCTGCAGCACCTTTTGCTATAGTTTTTCAATGAATAGAGTCTCAACCAATTGTGGCAGCCACAAAAACAAAGTTTCTGGAGTATAACAATTACTTTCAAAATAGGTACTACACAATTAAACAGGAATAACACTTTCAAACCAGGAACAGATTTTTTTTTTGCCAAATTTTATTACATAGTATTATAGTTCAAGATATTAGGTCCTGGATTGAAAACAAGTTCTTTTGTGGATGCTAAGTATGATGGAGATATTCAATTCAGCCAGGAATAGTAACAGGTCTGGCTCTGGAACTTTTGAACTATACCCACTAGCTTTGGAAACCTCTGGGACATTTGAAATAGTAGAAGACATATGCAACCATCTATGTCTTGACAAATATTCCTCCTCCAAAACTATTTGAAAAAGAAAAGCTTGATTTTGCTATTTATATAAGGGATGCCATTTTACTATATGATTGTAAATAACAGAATTGAGCATGGATGATATTGCGTATTCTTTTTAGATCCATTCATACCTACTTCTTCTCCTCTTGTTCCAGCGCCAATGTGTCCAGTATGCATTAAAAGCACATCCACTGAGATGCTACATTCCCAAGAACCCCTATCAGTACAAGATATGGTATATTGTGACCTCTTCTTACTTTGAGTACCTCATGTTCTTCCTCATCACACTGAATACTGTCTGTTTGGGCATGCAGGTATGGATGAATAGAAGTCCTTCAAAGCTGTGGATTTGGGGATAATGGTGGTAGTGGTGGGATCCCGAAGCATGCCTGCTCATAAAAGAACAGTAGTATAGGTGATTCCTTCTTCATTGTGTGTTAAACCCAATTTCATATAACTGAACTTGCTTGGTGGGTTTTGTTCTGGGAGTCCTAACAAAGAAATCAGCTTGCCCCTTATCATGAGCCTGTGTTTTGTATGAGCATATCAGTGCTCTTTTCCTGATTTAGTCCTCTTTATTTTATTTAAAGTTTTATACTTAAGTTAGGGCCTAGTTATCTAACTATTTAGTTCTCTGTAGATATCTCACTCTCTCCGTGGTCACAGGAGGACTCATAAGCTTGCCATGTGGCTAGAAACTTTGAATAAAAAGAGGCATATCCCTGAGAAGTAACAGAAATAAGAAGAGAAAAAATGAGAGAGGCAGATAAAGAGGGCAATAAGGGAAGGGCTTTCTAATTCATCTGGCTATTTATTTCCTTGATGAGGGCTGTAAATTGAGTTCCAACGGCTTTATAAATAATTTACTTTTCAAACATCTTTGCAGCATTATAATCAGTCAGAGACAATGGACTACCTTTCAGATGTTTTCAATGTAGTCTTCACTCTTCTCTTTACCGTGGAGATGATCCTGAAACTTATAGCCTTCAAAGCTAAGGTGAGTGGATGTATAAGGTTTCCAGCCTGAAATTTTGAGTAGAGTAATGCATTCCACTCTTCAATGGAATAAGGTTACATGCTGTTCACTGTAGTGAGGTATATCAAATTGTATTTTATTTTAATTGATTTATATGTTAAATTGTTTAAATTAAAATCACATTTCAATTTTCAGTTTTATATTGCAAATTAGCTGGGGAACATCCCAAAAATCCAGTCTATAAACAATTAAATATAAACATAGAAACGTTTGGTGGGACTCTTCCTACCAGAGTGCTAGCACGTGGAGTGAATGTGTGGTTGTATGTCTGTTTATAACTCTAATTAATCTGCACAATCTGAAAGGCCTTCTCTTTTATTGTGGCTTCAACTTAATTCCACTTTTTTGCAGACCACTTTCTTTTGTGTATATATATTTTTTCCCAGGGTTACTTTGGGGACCCTTGGAATGTCTTTGATTTCCTCATAGTCATCGGTAGCATCATTGATGTCATCCTGAGCCAGATTGATGTAAGTATAAAATAAGGACAACTAGCATTGCAGGGATTTGGGGATGGGGTGGTGGTTTGAGTATTGGACTAGGAGACAGGGTGACCAGGGTTCAAATCCCTGTTTGGCCACAAAAACCCACTGGATGACCTTGGGCATGTCACACTCAAAGGCAAACCCCCTCTGAACAAATTGTGCCAAGGTTCAGTTTAGGATTGATATGTCAGAAATGAAGGTGCAGCAGCAGCAACAATAACATTTTGGAATGACAACTGTAAAACTGAAGAGGTTGAGGGGAGGACAGTGGCTCTAACTCTATGGCAACATAGGCTTCCCAATCTCCAACTGAAGATGGAACAGTTTTCCTCAACTTGGTGCTTTCCAACTTGGTCCACAACTCCATTGGCCATGCTGACTGTTAACAATGGAAATTTTAGCCCAATACATCTGAAGTGTGTCAAGTTGGGGAAGGCTGAGGTGTGAATTTTCTGCATGTCGAAAGAGAACTTTTGAGTCACAGCATCCAGCAGCTTTAGTTTCCTTCTGAAAGAAACATATGCTTCTTGAACTGAAGGAATTATAGACAACACATGCAAATTGAATTCGCTTAGTATATGCTATGAACCACACTCGGCTCTGCTAAGAAGTACCATCTGTAGACCTCAAAAACAAAGCAGTGTGGTTTGGAACTTCAGTATCCAAAGGGATCTAATAGCACCATTTGACTTCATTTGAGAAAATTGAGTGGAGGGAGTACGGAAAAACATCTTCTTTGTGTGGTGTTTTATGGGGTTCCATCTTTAAAGAAGACTAAGAATTTACTCACACCTATCACACAGGATCACCTCCTCTGGCTTCTAACTCAACCATCTAACTCAACTTTTCCTGGGGTCATTTTTTCCTTCAAGGCCCTTCCACTGAAGCAGATTTAAAGTACCTTTCTTACGGCATCACTTTCTCTGGGGTCCTTTCTCCTCAAGATCTTTCCACTGAAGCAAGATTAAGACACCTTTCTTAAGGCACCACTTTCCCGGGGTCGTTTTCCCTCAGCATCCTTTCAGTGAAGTAGAGTTAATGCACCCTTTTTAAACACTTATTTCACTGGCACCCATGCCATTTGATGGAGCATTCGTATTAGCCCATTGTTCCATGTCAGTGAACTGAAATGACCCAAGGAATCTAACAGATCCCATGTACTTTCTCCCTCTTTCTCCCATTTCCACCTGCATCAGGAGCTCAGAATGTGATTTCTCCCCATCTCTCTCCCTCCCTTCACTTAAACTACATTTCAGGGACGAAAAGCAATGGGTGACAACCAAAAGTAGTTTTATGTCTTGTGAAGGGCTCTGTGGCACTTTATCCCTGAAATGTCTTAGAAGTGTGTGGAAACGGGAGAGGGCCTGCATCTGATGAGGTCCTTAGAGATTAGCTGAGAGAACGAAGTTAGTAGCATAAGCTCTTATTGACTACAAGATTCTTTTGCACCTATAGGCCTGTTTTTGATCATAGCTAACAGACTTATACCCCAAAGACCTCATCTGCTCTGCTATCCCTGTGTCCTTTTTAATAATATGGCAAATAATATAGCTAGCAAATTTAATATGAAATGAAGCTTGAAATGCCTTACCTTATGGTAGCTGCAGATAATTTCTGCTTTACTGTCCATGGCAACCATCTTTCAAATATCAGCTTATTATGTCGGTATATAGTGTGCCTGTCCTTTATCACTGCTGTACTGCTATATAAAGCAGCCCTTTTTATATACATGTGCATGAGTGATAGAGTACATAAAATACCATATGAAGATAGCACATGTGCACACCCCATACATCTGTATGTACAGAATACACAAGTAGAACTTGCTGGTTTAAAAATGTCTTCATGTGCTTTCTTGTGCTTGGTGCACTGCTACTGCTTGTATTTTCAATTAGCTTTAGGCCAGTAATGGTCGTGACTAATACCTTATTTTTAAGAAGTCATACCAAGGATGTCTTCCTATATGAAGCTTTAAACACTGCCTTCTTTTATAGACTCCAGCATCCAGGAAAAAAACTGCTGCCCTTCTTTAAACTTACCTTATCAGCCAATATTGAAGTTGTACAAATCAGCTGCTCAAAGATCAGTCAGTATAACCTATCGATCAAATCGTCAAAAGTCCCAAAGGGAAGATCTAGTTGCTTAGTGATTATGGTGACAAATATTAATTTCAGTGGAATTCAGGAATGTACACTGAGAATGTAGTGACTGTCTCTTCTCCTTGCCTTAGAACTTCCTATTTTAGTCATCATCAGGAGCAGGACTGGCTCTTGCCCCAATTTTATCCTTCATGTAGCTTTTTACCTTCATATTAGAATGGCGCTTCCTTTTGAATGGCAACTGGCTGAAAAAACCTCAGAAGGGGCCAGGATTATCACGGAAGTTTTTCCTATCCCCTGGTGCTGGCAGAATCACATAGTCCTATTTTGATTCCATAAGATGGAAAGGCATCCTCTGTGTTCCTGTTTTCTTCATCCCAGCATACTGTATCTTTAGTTTGTAAACTTAGCCATTTTGATAAGTTTGTGCTTTCTGTGTTTTCTTCCTCTCTTTTTTCCTAATGTTGAAATCATTTATATTGATACATTGATTTCATAAATTTCCTGCTCAGATAAGCAAAGATGATATCCTTTATGATTATTAAAAACCCAGTTAATAATAATAATAATAATAATAATAATAATAATAATCTTTATTTATACCCCACCACCATCCCCAATGGGGACTAGGGACGGCTAACATGAGGCCGAGCCCTTTTAAAAATACAATACAACACAGTAAAACACAAAATACAAAATGCATCAGAAAATACATTACAATAGCAAAATAGAATAATAAAGCAAATCAACACAATATAAACTTTACTATCTGGCTAGCTGGCTATAGCTGGACATGCAACATAGATGGATGTAGGCATCTAACAGATGAACGTATGAATATTTCAAAATGGCCAAGAACGTCCCTGTGTTCAGGGCTATTCCCAGTTCCATGTAAACTAGATCTCTTGATTTTTCTGTGCTTCAGTTAAAAATTGCAGTAATAATGGAGGAGCTGTGGAACTGTTGAACTGTTTAGTGCTATTTATACAGTTTACAGTTTAGCAATCTTTGCTTCCACTCATTGACCAAGATCATATCTTTATTGTATCTAATTGCTTTGTTACATCCATTGTTTTATCTCTTCCTTTTATCCCTTCCTCCTTCTACCTGTCTTTCTTGTTGTAGCTGTCAAAGTTAGTATCTTCTATAATCTCACTCCGTCAAACAAGACTCCTCTCACTCATCTAGCCCTCCCTTCTTTCCTTCCTTCCTTCCTTCCTTCCTTCCTTCCTTTCCTTCCTTCCTTCCTTCCTTCCTTCTCTTTCCCTCCTTCCTTCCTTCCTTCACCTGTCTTTCTTGTAGTTGTCATAGTTAGTATCTTCAATAATCTCACTCCGTCAAAAAAGACTCCTCTCACTCCTCTAGTCCTTCCTTCCTTCCTTCCTTCCTTCCTTCCTTCCTTCCTTCCTTCCTTCCTTCCTTCCTCCTCCTTCCTTCCTTCCTTCCTTCCTTCCTTCCTTCCTTCTCCTTCCTTCCTTCCTTCCTTATTATTGTCTTTCAAACTCATTCTGACTCCCATTCCTATATTCTTCCTTTTAACCCTTCCTCCCAAGACCTGTCTGTCTTGCAACTGCATAGTTAGCATCTTTCATCATTTCACTCTGTCAAACAGAACTCCTCTTACTCCTTCCTTCCTTCCTTCTTTCCTTCCTCCATCCACCTGTCTTTCTTGTTGTAGGTGTCATAGTTAGTACCTTCTATAATCTCACTCTGTCAAAAAAGACTTCTCTCACTCCTCGTCCTTCCTCCTTCCTTCCTTCCTTCCTTCCTTCCTTCCTTCCTTCCTTCCTTCCTTCCTTCCTTCCTTCCTTCTTCCTTCCTTCCTTTTTTCCTTCCTCCTTCTTCCCTTCCTTATCTTTGCATTGCAGTTGTGGAATTCCTGATTCTTTTATTCTCTTGACAGACAATTCTTGCTTCCAGTGGTGGATTGTACTGCCTAAGCGGTGGCTGTAATGGCATTGTAAATATCAGCTGCATGAGCTTGTTGTGGACCATCTGTTTTGTTCATATATCCCTTTCTTTCCCTTCCTAGACCATTCCTTATTGTCATGTCCTGCTGTGTTAGTGTGGATTGCATGAGACTGATGACAACACTGAGTTTTCAGAAATAGCCCTCTAATAGAGGAGAGAGTAAGTTGTCAGTCTCTGGAGATTACATTGGTCCTGGGTGGGAACAAGGCTACCACCCTGTCAACTTCTTGAAATATAAGTATAGCATTCAACCCAAAAAGAAATGGCCTTGAATTAATTGAATTTGTAAAAGATTTGGAGGCAATTAATTGTTGTTCCTTTGTTTGTCCCTTGTCCCACACATCTAGCAAAGACAGATGTCTAGATAAGAAAATTGATTGTTATGGCTTGCTCAGAAATAAAGCATTGCATATTATGCATAGATGACTTGCAAGAATCTGTAATATTATTTATACCATCTTTAAGACCTGTAAAGTGTACTATTGCATAGTGCTAACAGCTTCTTGCATTCTGCTTTTTGTGCCAAATATCAAGTACTGCTTTGATGTTTTCCCCCCATAATTTCACAGAGAGAACAGTCCTACAAAGCAGATGGCAGGAACAGTGTTAGCAATACAATTGCCAGTTTTGCTTTCTGATGTACAGCAAATGCCTGCAAGCTTGTCTTTAAGATATATAAAATCCCATTTTCATTCCCAATCCAGCCTGAAAACTGTACTGTGTAGCTTTATTATTGAAGAAGATACAGTCAAAGCAGAATGTTCTTTAGCGTATGCACTATCAAATGAAACCTTGAATAATGCTTTTGCTACTCTGCAGAAACATAAATCTATGGGTCATATTGATACTGAATGTGTCCTATTTCATATCCGACACATGTGAACTAGTCTGCAGAAATGGCATGAGATTGACTGTTAGATAGCCACTGATATGCTTTTTTCCTGCAGTGTTAGAACATACTTTTGCTACAAATCTCAACCAGTTTAACTGCCATGAAAGAGAAAAATTTAATTTAATTTGTTCGAGTTGCTCTTCATAGCCACACCAAACTACTAAGGCTTGTTCCTAAGGCTGAGAGATGTGTTTCAAGTTATAGTATCTCTCCAGTTTTCACTTGTAGCATAGATTTCATTTGTGATGGGACCAGATCATCCAGTGCTACCTTCTTTTTTGCCAACCTGTATGCTATGCCTTGTGACCTTTCCTTTCACTTCCATCTTGCCATGCTGTCCCTATAAGTTCTGATGGTTCAGACTCATTCTTTGTTTCAGTTAAAGCCAGCAGTCCAAGAATTCATATGGTGACACTCTGTTAATCCAGGAAGGAATTACCATTGGGAATCAGTGTAATGGTGATGGCATGAATCTTCCTGTATTCTTCATCGGCATGCAATCAACAATGTAGTTTTATCCCATCCCATAGTTTAGCATGCTGTTGACCCTGAGCCCCTAGCTCTACCTGTGTTGCAACCATTGGTGTGCTTATTGCCATGGGATATGTTCACAGACCCAACCACTGATGATCCAGGAGGCCACCAACGCTGGAGCAGCCACATCACAGGTATGTTTGTTTATTTCTTATTTATAATAGTCATACACCTCATTCAGGTGGATATTATACAAAAATAAAGCATAGTTTAGTTTCTGAAATAAATTCAAAAATTATTTCAAAAGCCTAGGAGAATAAAAACATAATTGCTTGACACCAAAAGTTCCCAGATCACCATCTTATTTCTCAGATCAAGTCAAGGGCTGATCTGCCACATGTATTGGGACAACTACACATTTGAATAGCACCTATATGTATAGTTGAAGGCTTTCATGGCCGGAATCACTGGGTTCTTGTAAGTTTTTCGGGCTGTATAGCCATGTTCCAGAAGCATTCTCTCCTGACATTTCACCTGCATCTATGGCAGGCATCCTCAGACGTTGTGAAGTCTGATACTAGATAAAATCAAGACTCTATAGTGGTGCAGTGCTAAAGTGAAATTTTGGTGAGGGAGTGGGAATAAAATATAGTGCATAATGTACTCCTTGCTCTGTGCTTTTTCAGTATTGAAAGCTCAGGTAAACAGTACTGAGACAAGTCAGCACCTTCTAGCATCTTCTTAACAAGGTTCAAAATGCATTTCATGCCAGTTCCCCTCCTCACCCACAATTAAATCATGGATAATGATTATGTTGTAATGGCCATATATGATTAACACAACAAATATACTAGTGAATAGCCATTAGTTTGCTTCTGTCTGCTTATTTTCTCTCACTGCCACATGCTATTTCCATAGACCTCTGCCATAGATCCTGATGAAACTGGACGGATCTCCATCACTTTCTTCCGGCTTTTCCGAGTCCTGCGCCTGGTAAAACTGCTAAACCGAAGTGAAGGCATTCGAAACTTACTCTGGACTTTTATCAAGTCCTTTCAGGTAAGAACATCACTTTGGCTGGAAGAGTATGTGCACTATTCCAGCTGAAAGAGGGACTCTGAAAGTAGGATAGGGTTGGTTGAGGTGGAGGTAGGTATAATTTTATTCACTTACTTTATTTTTATCCCACCTTTCTCCTCACAGTTTCCATCCAATTGCTTTGATCCGCTCTGGTCTGGACACCATATTAACGGCAGTGTCTGAGGATGTAACACGAGCATCTGCTTGTCCGGTTTTGATGGATTCATTTCAATTGGTTCAATCCGAGGATGTGGACAAGGTGCTTGGAGGAATGAGAGCTACCACATGCATCCTAGACCCCTGCCCATCCTGGCTTCTAAAGGAGGCCAGAGGGGGATTGGCCGAGTGGGTGAAGGTGGTGGTTAATGCCTCCTTCGGGAGGGCAAAATTCCAGCCAGCTTAAAGCAAGCTGTAATAAAACCGCTGTTGAAAAAACCATCACTGGACCCCACTCAATTCGTCAACTTTCGGCCTGTTTCCAATCTCCCCTTTTTGGGCAAAGTCTGGAACGTGTGGTGGCCTCACAACTCCAGGCATTCTTGGTAGACACGGATTATCTGGATCCGGCACAGTCTGGCTTTAGGCCGGGGCATGGTACCGAGACAGCCTTGGTCGCCTTAGTGGATGATCTGCACCAGGAGCTCGACAGGGGGAGTGTGTCCCTGTTGGTGCTGCTGGACCTCTCAGCGGCCTTCGATACCGTCAACCACGGTATCCTTCTGGGACGCCTCACGGGAATGGGTCTTGGAGGGACTGTTTTACAGTGGCTCCGCTCATTCCTCGAGGGCCGGTCTCAGAAGGTGTTACTGGGAGACTCCTGTTCAACCCCACAACCTTTGTCTTGTGGGGTTCCTCAGGGTTCAATACTGTCTCCCATGTTGTTTAACATCTACATGAAGCCGCTGGGTGAGATCATCCGGAGTTTCGGAGTGCGATGTCATCTGTACGCAGATGATGTCCAACTCTGTCACTCCTTTCCACCTGCTACTAAGGAGGCTGTCGAGGTCCTGAACCGGTGCTTGGCCGCTGTGACGGTCTGGATGGGGGTGAACAAATTGAAATTGAATCCAGACAAGACAGAGGTACTCCTGGTCAGTCGCAAGGCCGAACAGGGTATAGGGTTACAGCCTGTGTTGGATGGGGTCGCACTCCCCCTGAAGACACAGGTTCGCAGTTTGGGTGTGATCCTGGACTCATCGTTGAGCCTGGAACCCCAGGTTTCAGCGGTGACCAGGGGAGCATTCGCACAGTTAAAACTCGTGCGCCAACTGCGCCCGTACCTTGGGAAGTCTGACTTGGCCACGGTAGTCCACGCTCTGGTTATATCCCGTTTCTCTATGTGGGGTTGCCTTTGAAGACGGCCCGGAAGCTCCAATTAGTCCAACGCTCGGCAGCCATGATACTAACTGGAGCGGAGCGCAGGGAGCATACAACTCCTCTGCTGCACCAGCTCCACTGGCTGCCGATCTGCTACCGGGCTCAATTCAAAGTGCTGGCGCTGGCCTTTAAAGCCCTAAACGGTTCTGGCCCAACTTACCTATCCGAACGTATCTCAGCCTATCAGCCCACCAGGACCCTAAGATCTTCTGGGGGGGCCCTGCTCTCTATCCCGCCTGCTTCACAGGTGCGGCTGGCGGGGACGAGAGACAGGGCCTTTTCTGTGGTGGCCCCGCGGCTATGGAACGCCCTCCCCATGGAGGTAAGATCAGCCCCCTCATTGATGGTTTTCCGGAAAAGACTAAAAACCTGGATGTTCGAGCAGGCGTTCGGTTAACTCAGTGCAATAAGTGTAATGATTGAAGGACTGGCAATTTGGACGACGAAACTGGATCACGATTTTAGTCAAGAGATGAATTGGATTGTTTATTGATATATGTATTGTGGATCGTGTTTTTATGCTTTTAAACTGTATACTGTTGTTTGTTATAAGTTGTTGTAAACCGCGTTGAGTCGCCGGCTAGGCTGAGAAACGGCGGTGTACAAGTATAGCAAATAAAAATAAATAAATAATAAAAAATAAAAATATTTTGTTCCTGTTATGAACTGGCTTCCTCCCAGGTAGGCATATAAGCCAAAATGTGAGAACAGTGATAGACATACTAAAATACGCTGAACCAGATCCAAGTAGAGAGATCGCGTTATTGTTTTTAGATGCTGAGAAAGCATTTGACAATGTGCGGTGGGACTATATGTTTAAAGTATTGGACCACTTCGGAGTAGGTCAATATTTCAGAAAGGCAATAGGAGCTATTTATTCAAGGTAAAGAGCCAAATAAATGATCAAATGTCAAATTATATAGAAATTCAAAAAGGGACAAGACAAGGCTGTCCCTTGTCGCCCTTACTGTTCATTTGGATATTAGAAATTTTGAATAATAGAATTAGAGAAGTTAATGAAATTAAAGGAATTAAAGTAAAAGGGTATGAATTTAAAGGGAAGGCGTATGCAGATGATTTGGTCTGTTTTTTTAAGGGAACCTTTAAGAAGCATACATGCCTTATTGGAAATTATTAATGAATTTAGTGTTGTGTCAGGCTTTAAAATTAACAAGGAGAAATCGCTATTTCTAACTAAGAACCTATCTAAAAGCGATATTGTTAAATTGGAGAATATAACTAATTGTAAGGTAGTCCCCAAAGCAAAATATCTTGGACTATGGTTAAGTAACAAAAATAGTAAACTGTAATGTAAATATCCGATATGCAGGATGTATTTTCATTCACTGAACCAAATTTGGCACAAATACCCCAAATGCCCAAATTTGAATACTACTGGGATTGGGCAGGGGATTGATTATGTCATTTGGGAGTTGTAGTTGCTGGGATTTATAGTTCACCTACAATCAAAGAGCATTCTGAACTCTACCAATGATGCAGTTGAACTAAACTTGGCACACAGAACTCCCACGACTAACAAAATACTGGAAGGGTTTGGTAGGCATTGACCTTGAGTTTTGGAGTTGTAGTTCACCTACATCCAGAGAGCACTGTGGACTCAAACAATGGTGGATCTTGACCAAACTTGGCAAGAATACTAAGTATTCCCAAATGTGAACACTGGTGCTATTTGGGTAAAATAGACATTGACAGTTGGGAGTTGTAGTTGCTGGGATTTATAGTTAACCTGCAATCAAGGAGCACTTTGAATTCCACCAATGATGGAATTGAACAAAACGTGGCACTCAGAATTACCATGACCAACAGAAAATACTGGAAGGATTTGATGAGCACGGACATGGGTTTTGGAGTTGTAGTTCACCCACATCCAGAGAGTCTGTGGACTCAAACAATGATGGATCTGAACCAAACTTGGCACAAATACTCAATATGCCCAAATGTGAACACTGGTGGAGTTTGGGGAAAACAAACCTTGACATTTGGGAGTTGTCGTTGCTGGGATTTATAGTTCACCTACAATCAAGGAGCACTTTGAATTCCACCAATGATGGAATTGAATCAAACTTGGCACTCAGAATTCCCATAACCAACAGAAAATACTGGAAGGATTTGATGAGTACGGACCTTGGGTTTTGGAGTTGTAGTTCACCCACATCCAGAGAGTACTGTGGACTCAAACAATGATGGATCTCAACCAAACTTGGCACAAATACTCAATATGCCCAAATGTGAGCACTGGTGGAGTTTGGGGAAAACAAACCTTGACATGTGGGAGTTGTCGTTGCTGGGATTTATAGTTCCCCTATAATCAAAGAGCATTCTGAATTCCACCAATGATGGAATTGAACCAAACTTCCCACACAGAATCCTGATGCCCAACAGAAAATATTGTGTTTTCTGATGGTCTTTGGCGACCCCTGTGACACCCCCTCAGGACCCCCTCAGGGACCCAGACTCTCAGGTTGAGAAACACTCTTCTACAGTGTTATAGGTGTAGTCAAGTGCACAGAGTGGTACTGAGTAGAAGCGGAAGAGTGGCGGGGATGGAGATGTATATTAAGGAGGCACAGTCGAGGATCTTGGCCTAGTTTTTGCTGTTTGGTTGTTTTGAGGTCAGAACGAGAGCACCTTGCTGTGGGGAGAGAGAAGATCAACAGTCTCTCTTTCTCTCTTATTTTAGCAAATGGCAGGCAGGGTTTGGGGGATCCTACTTCAGAAGCTGCCTTAGAGAGAGAGAGAGAGGGAGAAATGAGGGAAGCCGTTTTTGTTGGTGCCTGTGCTTGGCCTCCAAAGCAGCTGCTTTCCCCCTTCGGCATGGAGCCAGGAGAGAGAGCCGAAGAAACCAGCCGACTGCAATGGGGTTGACCGACAGGAGACCTTCTGGATGTGTTCTGGGCAGGAAATGTGCCCGGAGGTTGAATGCGCTAGACAGAAAATAGGATTCAGCCTCAGGATCTGGAACTAGAAAAGTGATCCAACCCTCCCAGGGAAGAGAGAGAGATTTGCATCTGCAACTGGAGGCAAGAGCTAAGAAACGGGAATGCGATCCCTTCATGCTCGCTGACTTCTATCCTGTACAGAAGCACTTTCGGTGGAGAACTGAATCATAGAATCATAGAATCAAAGAGTTGGAAGAGACCTCATGGGCCATCCAGTCCAACCCCATTCTGCCAAGAAGCAGAAATATTGCATTCAAATCACCCCTGACAGGTGGCCATCCAGCCTCTGTTTAAAAGCCTCCAAAGAAGGAGCTTCCACCACACTCCGGGACAGAGAGTTCCACTGCTGAACGGCTCTCACAGTCAGGAAGTTCTTCCTCATGTTCAGATGGAATCTCCTCTCTTGTAGTTGGAAGCCATTGTTCCGCGTCCTATTCTCCAAGGAAGCAGAAAACAAGCTTGCTCCCTCCTCCCTGTGGCTTCCCCTCACATATTTATACATGGCTATCATATCTCCTCTCAGCCTTCTCTTCTTCAGGCTAAACATGCCCAGCTCCTTAAGCCGCTCCTCATAGGGCTTGTTCTCCAGACCCTTTATCATTTGAGTCGCCCTCCTCTGGACACATTCCAGCTTGTCAATATCTCTTGAATTGTTGCGCCCAGAATTGGACACAATATTCCAGATGTGGACTAACCAAAGCAGAATAGAGGGGTAGCATTACTGAAAAAAGGTGTATCTTGCTTTTGAAATGATTTTTATTGATCAGCCAGTTGGCCTTATCAAAACAGACAATATAAACACAACATACAGTATTGTTGAAGGCTTTCATGGCTGGAATCACTGGGTTGTTGAAGGTTTTTTCAGGCTATATGAGGCATTCTCTCCTGACGTTTCGCCTGCATCTGTGGCAAGCATCCTCAGAGGTAGTGAGGTTTGTTGGAACTAGGAAAATAGGTTTATATATTTGTCAAAAGACCAGGGTGGGATAAAGAACTCTTGTCTGCTGGAGCTAGGTGTGAATGTTTCAACTGACCACCTTGATTAGCAGTTGATAGCCTGGAAGTGCCTGGAGCAATCTTTTGTTGAGAGGTGATTAGATGTCCCTGGTTGTTTTCCCTCTGCTGTTTTGCTGTTTTAATTTTAGAGTTTTTTAATACTGGTAGCCAGATTTTGTTCATTTTCATGGTTTACTCCTTTCTGTTGAAATTGTCCACATGTGGATTTCAATGGCTTCCTTGATCTTTCCAACCCCTTAATACAGTTTCTTATCTTGTGGTCACCCCCATAGAATCATAGAGTTGGAAGAGACCTCATGGGCCATCCAGTCCAACCCCATTCTGCCAAGAAGCAGGACCTAGAGGCGCCAAGCCGCCGGAGCTGCAGGCCGCAAAGCGTCCGCCGCCGCCCGCCGGAGCCAAGCCGAGGCCTCCCCAACGCTGGAAACGCAGAGGCAGTTGGGGTGCAGCCACAGACGCGGAGCCGTCAATAGGCCCCAAAGGCACGGAGAAGCCAGGCCGCTCCCAGGGCGAGGGAGCAAGGCAGCGTCCGCTAGCAGAGTGGAAGGTCGCAAAGAAAGACTCCGCCCGGCTGCACCGGGCCAAGGAGATACAAGGCCGATGGAAGGCCCCAGACCGCTCCCAGGGCGAGGGAGCGAACAGCGTCCGCCGGCAGTGTGGAAAAAGCCGCAGAGAAGAACTCCGCCCGGCTGTGCCGGGCCACGGAAACGCAAAGGCCGATGGAGGGCCCCAAGCCGCCCCCAAGGCGAGGGAGCAAGCAGCGTCCGCTGGTGGCGTGGAAAAAGGCAGCAGGGAGAGAGACTCCGCCCGGGCCACAGGAAACACAGAGGCCGATAGAAAGCCCCCGCAGTTCGTCGGTTTCTGCTCGGTTTCCTTCGGTTTCAATTTCTGCAGCCCGGTGGCTGCGAGGCAACAGTCACAACGCCAGAGCAGGTAAGCCCCTGATGGAAACGCAGCTCGGGGGAGCGGGGAACCGGGAACCGGGAGTGGGCGAGTTCGTGAGCCCGCAACGCTGCAATGGCGGCCAGCCGGCCGCAGTTCGTCGGTTTCTGCTCGGTTTCCTTCGGTTTCAATTTCTGCAGCCCGGTGGCTGCGAGGCAACAGTCACAACGCCAGAGCAGGTAAGCCCCTGATGGAAACGCAGCTCGGGGGAGCGGGGAACCGGGAACCGGGAGTGGGCGAGTTCGTGAGCCCGCAACGCTGCAATGGCGGCCAGCCGGCTCTACCTCCTCCTCTCCTTCTTTCTAACTCCTCAAGCTCTGTGTTGCCTGTGCTCCTTCAATTGCCTCCCCAAGGCCACCTTCGCGACCCTGGTTTGGCAAAAATAATTTGGGAGCGATTTTATGGCTCAGGTAACAAAATTTAAATAGTCACAGTTCTTACTCTGCCGGAGCTAAAGTTTGTTGCTGCTACCGCGCCGCCATCTTAACCGGAAGTTTAATACTAGGAGCTGTCTATCTGGAAGCACCCAACTAAACAGCTGAAATAGAAACTCACAGTGTCAGTAAGGAAACTGATATAAAGATACAGATTTGTCAGAGAAACCCACAATAGGAATAGATGCCTAGCACAAGAATAGGTTCTTGGCAATGATTAACCTTCTTATTTGCAGATGTTTGGGAAAGTTGCTCTGGTTGATGGAACTCAAATAAATCGGAACAACAACTTTCAGACCTTTCCACAAGCAGTGTTGATGCTGTTCAGGTAAGCCTTTTTTTGATAAACAGGAGAAAAAATACATCACGAAAAGAATACTGATTTACATGAAGCGTCTATATGCTAATGTATTATGTACAAATGCACATTTAGAAATAATTACTACAATATATCTCATCATAATGGTAAAGACTATGATCTGATCATCTGCATGTCTGCTTAGTCTAGTACTCAGAACCTAATAATTATTGGGGAATCTCAAGACATCCACTCTCCCTGGTTTATTTAAATCTTGGATTTGGACAACATTCCATATAGAGGACATCTTCCAATATAGGACTTTTCCTCAACAGACCTTCAAATGTAATCTGTAAATGAGGTACACCTAGACTAGTTTCCAATCTTGGAACTTTTGATTTTTAAGCAGAGGTTGGATGACCATTTGTCAGGAGTGCTTTAATTATATTTTCCTGAATAGCAGGGGGTTGAACTAATGGTCCTTGTGATCTCTTCCAACTCTACGATTCTATGATTTTTTGTTTTTTAAATAATTTTATTATTTTAAAAAAATCAAATATATCCTTTAAAAATAGAGCACAAAGATAGAAACATTAACAATAGTTACATAGAAGATGTGTTATATGTTCATAATTTTGAAATTAAAAATTAATTCCTTTAAAATATTTCATTCTGTTTTATTAATCCTTTCCAAAAGTCCAATGGGTCAGTGGAATATCACTGTTTTCCTCATTGGTTTGATTTGCGTAAGAAATAAATGGGAGTTGCATTGCCTCAAAGACATTCTTATCTTCCTTGTCTTACTTACCATGTCAGTCTTTCTGATATTGCTAAATCACAAACTATTTGTGGAGTTTGTTTCCAAAAGAAAACAAATCCAGAATAAGGAAAAGAAAAAAAATGAATTATATGAGATAGCACACTGTTGACTAAGAGTAGAATATTACGTACAGATCAGAACTATCAAAATGTACCAAATCACTTCAGTTACAGGGCTTGGAAAACTGCATTTTATAGCAAAAGCATGCTTTTTCCCATTTCTAAAAAAATTGTTCGGATGGATTTGATACATTTAATAATCTTCACATTTATGCAGAAGCAGCCCTAGGTAATTTTCAACGGTAAGCAAAAAGTATTTTGGCGCCCCCCCCCCCCCCCAAACCAATCACTGATATATATTTTCTGTTTGTCATGGGAGTTCTGTGTGCCATATTTGGTTCAATTCCATCATTGGTGGAGTTCATAATGCTCTTTGATTGTAGGTGAACTATACATCCCAGTAACTACAACCCGCATAAGTCAAGGTCTGTTTTCCCCCAAGACCACCTCAAGAGCGCCCCTGGGCAAAATCAACTATACTGCAAATGCTTACTTTGTGTAATGGGTTGAGCCGCCCTTGCATTTATGTCATAGCTCTAAACTTACTGGCAATGATCTGTCTGACCACTGATAATAGAAAGTAAAGTAAATTCTTATGTATTATGTATCACCCTAAATAAATGTTGTAGTGCCAATCTCAGATTAAGGGTGATATGGTATTCCATCAAAGGGATGGAATACCATATCACCCGTTGTATGTCCTTGTATCACTTCTCGCTTATTGTTAAACAGTTGTGTTCATTGGCTCTGTTTTTGAGGCTTACAACTTGCAGGGCAAAATGCAATGAGTGCCAATACATACCATCTGCATCACAAAGAATAGAGCTTTGGAGCAATTAATATGAATAGTGGCACTTGATATTTTATTCACCCTACAATGTCACAGATGATGCTTGTTTATGGGTTTTTAATAACACCCCCACCCAATTTTAATTCCTGCAACTTGGAAATCAAAGTTTCTAAAATACAGACAAAGGATTGCTTGTGATTTTACAATATATGGAATTAGACTTCAGGAGTACAGATGTCTATCCACTTTTGATAGTATCATACACTCTTTTGTCCAGTTAACATGTTCTGGAAATATGGTTGTGTCTCAGCTCATTTCTTTCCCTAGGTGTGCCACAGGTGAGGGCTGGCAGGAAATCCTATTAGCTGCCAGCTATGGGCAGCTATGTGACCCTGAATCGGACTATGCTCCTGGAGAAGAATATACTTGTGGCACAGGATTTGCTTATTTCTACTTCATCAGCTTCTACATGCTCTGTGCATTCTTGGTATGTTCTTTTTGCAGTCTTTTAATGTGTATTTCCTTGATTGGTATCATATTATTATGGAACATGAGTAAATACTTCCATCAGCATATTCACTGGCTAAATTAGAAGTCACGGTGACATCCACTGATTCACCCATTTATAATAAATACACAGGGAAAGGTGTCAAAATGCTCCCTCTCCCGCATTCCCCAGGCTTAGTCTTATTACTAGGTGTAACTCATTTCATTCCTTACTGATAGCAGGCTATTCAGTAAATTGGCATTAGTGAATCCTTAGCTTAAATCTCCAGACTTCAGCAAGTTGACTGCCTGTGATCCTCAAGTCTACCTAGCAAAAAGCTTTCTCATAGATAAAGTGCCTGCAGTTCTATTAGATCAATGAACCATGGATGGTTTGCCTAGGCAACAGGGGCCAGAATTAATGTATTACCCTTCAAAACCAAATACAATCAGAAGCAGTTCTGAAGTTGAAAGAAAGTGGAAAGCAAAGGGAAAAATTGTCACCACTGAAACAGACTTAATGTTCTATGCTAAATGTGTAGTGTGCAAATTACGTTCTAAATGTGTCATGTGCAAATTACTTTATTCGCAATTAAGCATGTGGAACCTGATCTGAATCAAGCCTGAAATAAGTGAATAAGGAATTTTTAAAGTTCCTGGAAATAAATTGCCCTCCATCCCCATTTGTTTGAGGTGGGGAAGGACTATAAATGGGGGAAATGTTCAGAGCTGCCAAGGGCATTTTTGTCTCCTCCTTTTTTAGCTTCCACGCCCTTAGCAAAAACTAGTGGGAGGGGAGCCTGCAAGTGGGAGGGATCAAACCTCCTTTATTTATGTGCAGTGAGTCTGATCTCTGCTGGGTCTCTCCATTTTAGCCAACTAAAACACACAACAATTTTCATCAAATATTTCTTGTATTCTTTTTCAAGGTTGGCTATTACTTTTATGAACACTAGAAATATTCATAAAGTCTTCTTGCTGAAGAAAAAAAATACACACTAGTCCTATAAAAGCTTTGAATTTTGGGCCATTCAGTGGCCACATTGGCTGTGTGGTTCTGGAAATTGTACTTCATTTTTTCCTTTATCTCTGCCAAGTTTCAGCAGCCAGCTGGAAGTGCTATAGACAGTGGTTCTCAACCTGTGGGTCCCCAGATGTTTTGGCCTTCAACTTCCAGAAATCCTAACAGCTGATAAACTGGCTGGGATTTCTGGGAGTTGTAGGCCAAAACACCTGGAGACCCACAGGTTGAGAACCAGTGCTATAGAAGGATTGATGCATGAGTTGTTGGCTGACTTCACTCCAGCTCAGTAGCATTAGCCCATGCCATGTTTCTGTATGTTTTGTCAATTCATTTCTCCTTAGATTATCAACCTCTTTGTTGCTGTCATCATGGACAACTTTGACTACCTCACACGGGATTGGTCGATATTAGGTCCACATCACCTGGATGAGTTCAAACAAATATGGGCAGAATATGATCCAGAGGCCAAGTGAGACACTGTTACTAAACTTATAATTAATCATTTCATTGGCAATAAAAGTAAAGTTCAGGATTTAATAGAAAAAAAAATTAAAGTTAGATAATTCTTAGAAAACCTTAGAAACTACAGAAGGAATTTGTGTTCTGTGGAGCCCAGAAAGCCACACCAAGCTATTTTGGCTCTTCCAAAATTGTGAAGAGCCATAATACACTGGGAACCAGAAGTAATAATTCATCACTCTTTGTCAGCTTTTGGGTCAGTCTTAAGATTTGTTTTTGTTTTTGCTGTTTCACTGTCACAACAGCGTTCTAATGTCTATTAATGCAAGTTTAAACGGAGGGCAAGTATTTTTCAGCTGAAGAAGTATTTGTGCTGGTGGAAGAAGGGATTTGGGGAAGTTAGTGCAGATTCCAAGGATTGCATTGGTTCTAACCACCACCCCACCAGGCTGATGGTATGATTCCCATGCCAAGTTAGCAGGCTGAGGTAGGGGTGGAATGGAAGCACTCTTCTACCTCTTAGATTCTGAAAAGGGACCCAAGAGCTATTTTAGCCCCTTCAGTTCCCTAGTGGGCTGCAGTTACATACCTACTAGTGCCCAGAAATGATGCTTCAGTTGACCAGAAGTCACTTCCAGTCTCCAGAATGGCACCTTGTTTGTGGATTCAGGATGGGAAGCTCCCCAAAACAAGATTTAGGAGACAAAATGCTAGGAAATATCCAAAAACATTGGAGGAAGGGGGCTCTGTGAAGGGGACCTGAAGGCTCATATGGCACACGGAGCTCTGAATTTCCACCCTTTATTTATAAAAACGAGCAACAGCAATGTATGGTCTCCCTCCTCTGGCATTCTTTTGTTGCAAGGTATTTCAGTCCTGATACTCAGTCCTAATAACTTTAATCTCAAGATACCTACCTGGAATTCCCATGAATTTATTTGAAAGGACATTGATAATTGAGATATGACTGGGCTACCTTTCTTGTCTTTTCTCTCCTATGGTTATTGTTGGCTATAATTGGCTATTTAAAAAAGACAGGGATCCACATTCCAATTAAAAGACAACAACTATTATCTGGTAGCTGTAAAGTCACCATAAGTTAGAAATTACTTGAATGTATACAAAAACAACAGAAAACAGTATTTTATATCCAAAGAATGGCAGGATAAATTTAGAATGGATCAACATTCTGATGACTGAGCAGCTTCAATTAATACTGAAGCTATATCATGCGCATAAAGGAGATCTTCCGAAGACTTAGGATGTTTTCCTGAACTCATGATTTGCATGCAGTGGCTGGTTTATGTGTTCAGTATCCTGCAAAAATGAAATACAGCTCTTTCTTGTCAAAGCTTATTTATCTTCTACAAAAAATGAAACTGAAACCTACTCTAGTTTTGGTTCACATCACAGTGAACTGTAACTCACAATGATCTATATTCTCATATGTTTAACCTGTAGGTGAATGAACATTGAAATGTAACAGAGAGAGAAGGAGATTGATTCACATAGTTCTGCCTATATCATTTCATATGCAGATTCACAGTTCATATACAGTTCTGTCTATATCAATCATATACAGATTCACAAGGAATATATTCACTAGGCTGGGAGGAAACTGGGATCCACTGTCTACATAGCTGTCGTATCACTGTTCATGTGCACTAAGGAATGGGTCACAAATATACTTTGAACTGTATGCTATATCAGCAGATCAAATGCATATAACCAAGTGTTGTATATATTTTTAACTAAGAAAGCATGAGCCAAATAAATAACCGAGCTGTGACTTCCAGGTACCCAGAGTTAGGAACTGAGGACCACGTCAACAACAGGTGATGTCACAGTTTTCTCTTGTTCTGGGTTGTTATAGGTTTTTTGGGCTGTATGGCCATGTTCTAGTAGCATTCTCTCCTGATGTTTCACCTGCATCTGTGGCAAGCATCCTTAGAGGTTCACAACCCCTGAGGAAGCTTGCCACAGATGCAGGCGAAATGTTAGGAGAGAATGCTTCTAGAACATGGCCATACAGCCTGAAAAACCTACAGCAACCCAGTGATTCTGGCCATGAAAGCCTTCAATAATATATTCTCTTGTTCTTCTTCACAGGGGCCGAATCAAACATCTAGATGTGGTCACTCTGTTGAGACGAATCCAGCCTCCCCTGGGCTTTGGGAAGTTTTGTCCACATCGTGTAGCTTGCAAGGTAGTCTTCCATTATAAACTAGGACTGTATTCTTGTCTTCATGTCCATGTTATTTCTGTCTTCTATACCAATTGACATCATAATACCGCATGGGCTGTAGCAATTTTTGAAAAAGCATAGATGTACAAAGATTGGTATTTAATGCAGCAATCTGATGTTAAGATCAATACATTGTGATGTCTGCCAGTGTTGAGAGACCTGGTTGTATTTTGAGTTTATGTATGCATGTGTGAACAGAAAGAAAAATGGAAGAATTATTAAGACATTTGATAAGTCTATCTGTGAAGGGAACAGGAATGTGCATAGCATCTCCACCCTTTGGAACCTCCCTATGTTTACTGGAAAGATCTGAAGGGGAAAGGTAACAATATCCAGGTGAACACAACTAAAGATCCCTCTGATCAGAAATCCAACTAAAGCATGGTTCCCATTTATGTAGAGTTTTATGACCATATATTCATGAGTACACCATTACAGTTTCCCTTAAAACCTTCTCACTGGGAGGGTGGTGGTAGGGATGGAAAAAGCATACCCTCATTTTCTTCAACACCTGAATCATTGTCTTCTACATTTGTATGTATGGTTGCTTTTTTTCCTCCCAGCGCTTGGTAGGCATGAATATGCCCCTGAATAGTGATGGTACAGTTACTTTCAATGCTACCCTCTTTGCTCTGGTGAGAACTGCCCTCAAGATCAAGACAGAAGGTGAGAGAAGAAAACTATCCATGGCTAAATCTGAATGACTCTATTGTGCTCATTCATAGCAGCCATTATTCATCTTGTGAGTGTGAAAGAACATTTGTCATTTTATATGCTAGTAGGAGCTCTGCTGACCTTAAAATCCATTACGGCACAATTACACATGCCCAACGGAAGATGCTATAAATCAACAGTAACAAATGCCTTTCTGGTGCATTTAATCATAAGACCTCAAAGTGTCACGTCCTCATGTGTTGTAAATTAACATAAGTACCTTCAGTGTGGACCCATGCCAACATGCTGTTTCTGGAACTTCCGGAGTTGTTTCAAGAACCTAAGCTTTAAAAAAGACAAATGTAAAGAATTTCATCCACCTGAGACCTGATAAATGAGAACATTCTTATTAATATAAGCATAGTAATTATAATCTAACCTTATCTTGTCCCAAGACAATTCAAGGCATTGAACACTGCATGTTATTAAAAACACAAGACAAAGGAGAAATAACTCATCAAAACAATTGAATATAAATAAATATACACCTACCTGAAGCAATAAAGCAAGGAAAACAGTCAACAAATACATTCACAACTAATAAAGCTATTATATGTCAAGATATAATAATATGAGTATATTATATGTCAAGATATAATAATATGAGTCCATGAATACACAACCTTTGTATTCAAACTGTCTTTGATGAAAATGAATAAGGCATGCTCAGTTATATGTAAATACTCTTTAAATGTTACATCAACTACTGGTGCATCTATGTACTTGGGTAAGTATTGTCTAGTGGACTGAATTGTTGTTTACATTTGTCCTTAGATGTAGCCATCATGTGGGTAAAATGTGATACCTGTTAAAAGTCATCCAATGATTCCACACACAAGTATGACTTTGTGTAGTGAAAATGTTCAGAGATTAAACTAATTTTGAAGATGAAGCCCCCAGTGGCACAATGGGTTAAATCCTTGTGCTTGCAGGACTGAAGACCGACAGATCGGATGTTCAAATCTGGGGAGAGCACAGATGAGCTCCCTCTGTCAGCTCCAGCTCCCCATGCAGGGACATGAGAGAAGCTCCCCCCCCCCAACAAGGATGGTAAAACATCAAAACATCTGGGCATCCCCTGGGCAACATCCTTGCAGACGGCCAATTCTCTCACACCAGAAGCGCCTTGCAGTTTCTTGAGTTGCTCCTGACATTAAACATTTTTATAAGATAAACTAATTAATTAAAAGCACTGGTAAATTCAGCATGAATAACAGCTGATAATAATCAAGGGCAAGGACAGTGATAAAACCACCATATTTGACTCTGTCAAAATCCAGCTCACTACTGGACTAGATGCTGTACATTTCAGATTCAGCCCCCGACTTCTTCAAATATGTAAAAAACCTTCTGATTGAAACAGAAAACAGCGTGTTCACATGGGCCAATGATCCAATACAGTATAGGACCATTTGAAATGACTGGTTGGTGATTTTGTAGGTAACTTTGAACAAGCCAATGAAGAGTTGAGGATGATTATCAAAAAAATCTGGAAGAGAACCAGCATGAAGCTCTTGGATCAAGTCATTCCACCAATTGGAGGTAAGTCTTCAACATGGCAATCAAGAAAATATGTGTTACCCTCATACCTCTTCCTACTTCTTGAGTAGGCTACCTATCTTGAATCAGCTTTGCATATTCCCGTACAGCCTGGAATGTGCAGACTGACCCAGGTACTGTTGCTGATTAAACATAATTATTTCCCTGATGTGTGCTTCTTTAGATGATGAGGTGACTGTGGGCAAGTTCTATGCTACCTTCCTCATCCAGGAGCACTTCAGAAAATTCATGAAGCGTCAGGAAGAGTATTATGGCTACCGACCCAAGAAGAATGCTGTTGAAATCCAGGTGAGTAAAAAAATGGAGCACAGCAATCCAGTATGTTCAGATTCAGCCCCTGACTTCTTCAAATAAAAAGCCTTCTGGTTGAAACAGTAAACAGTGGGTCAGATAGGTCAATGATCACAAAACGGTGTGGGTTGGTTATGCAGTCAAATGAGGTCATTGGGTGATCCACACCATCCCAATGACCACATTTGACTACATAACTAACCCACACCGTTTTGTGATCCTTGCTGGCTGTTGTACACTAATGTGGATGTTCTGTTTAGATTTATGTTATTATAGAATTTGGTCTGAATACATGTAGTTTAATTTATTGATGTCAGGTTTAATTTACTGATGTTAGATCTTCATTTAATATCAGGCTTTAATGTTACTTTTATATGTGGGGGTTTTCTGGGATTTTATGTTCGTATCGTGTGTTTTATGTAGGCATTGAATATTTGCCATTATTATGTTGGAATCCGTCCTGAGTCCCTTCGGGGAGATAGGGCGGAATACAAATAAAGTTTTATTATTATTATGTTTCCACCTGGTCCTAAGAACAAAGTCATTTTCCAACCACAATGAAGAACAAGTGGGTGAGACACATATCTACATAACAATTCATGCATAATCTTAATCTTAACTGAATCATCTGGTTCCCCTTCTCCTGTCTTTCTTCATCATCAGAAGGAAGAAAAAGGTGTGGCACAACATTCCTTTGACAGTTTACTGGTTCTTAGTACATATGAACCAGGTTTAATATAGATTCAGTTTGTTAAACAAACCAGCTATCTTATTAGCATCTGACTGTTATTTGTTATATATCACAGTCCATATATAACAACACAGGAATTAAGAAGATGGCAATTGAGTCATAGGATATTGCCCCTCCAGATTACATAGGAGAAAGAGAGATGGAAGCACACCAAAGCCAAATACTTTAGTAAGGATGACAGAGGATTATTCCTGTCAAACCTGGCTGAGCATAACATGCTAATATGGCCATTTTCATCAATCATCTTTCTCCCACGTATTCTTTATCTTTTGAAAACTCAAAATTGCACTGTCTGGGGAAGCATCAAAACTAGCCTAGTTTCTGCAGATGTTGATGCATCAGGCATCTGGATCTATTGCCATTCATCTATTAATTGAAGTTCAGCTTTGGAATATAATTTTTCTGGGTAATGACAATTTAACTGTTTGATTGATTGATTGATTGATTTTATCTCCTCTGTTCTGTTAATTGATTTCTATTAAAACTCTTGAAAAATATTTTAATGTATCCTAGTTCAATAAAAAACCATTTCAGTGAAAATTTTAAAAGTGATTTTAAAGAACCCAATCATTTGTCTGTTTCCTGCCTACACAACTATGGCACAATGACTTCTATGGGGAGAACATCATAAAATTTACACAAACAGAAAAGGCCAAATGCTCTGAAATGTGGCATGTTCTTAGATATGTGTTTCTCAAAGTTAATGTTTTTGACCATGCTTCTCAGGAGATCCAGGAAGATGTAATCCAAAACACTACTTTCCCATCCTCTACTTGTAGGTACAGTAGATTTTGGTAGTTTTGGTAGTCATAGAAGCTGTCAGTGTAGAAATATATCCCTGTCCCTGGTGTCAACATCAGCACTGATTCATCCTCTATGGAAGTTGTATGGGAGAACACTCGGTAGCATTTGGAAACATAGTGCACGAGCCCAATCCCCAGGTCTATTTTATGGGTGGAAAAAGAAATAGAGTGCCTCAGGCGCAGGTGACTTTTGGATCACACTCTTCTCCAGTCCCCACTCTTCTGCACCATCACTTTCCCACTGTAGTGTGAATGACATATGCCCATAGTAATCCCCCCCTCTTTTCACAAGGCTGGCCTGAGGACCATTGAAGAAGAAACTGCTCCTGAGATCAAAAGAGCAATCTCTGGGGATCTGACTGCAGAAGAGGAACTTGAAAGAGCAATGGTAGAGGCAGCAATGGAGGAAGGCATCTATAGGGTAAGTGAGCATGGAAATAATATTCCCATAATGGGCATTTAAAATATCCCTTAGACATAATTGTGCCTGTGACCCCACTGATAGTTTCTATTCACACAGTGAATCATCTCCTTCCACCATATCAACCTCTCTCACATGGAAACACCATATCGTTCTTCACCACCACCATTTTTTTAAATTGTAATGAGCGGTTGTAATAAAAATGGAATGAGGTGAAAGGGTTATGCACTATGCTTTCATGCTATGGGCCTCAACAATGCAGAGCCATCTATAACTACATTTTCTAAAGAAAGTGACCAGTTCTAAGTATGATAGCATGAGACACTTTCAGCCTGGCTTTAAGAATGATTGAATATTTAGGTTTTTTTATTCCCCCCCCCCCCCACCCTCGCCCAATATGGGAGATAAAGGATTTAAGAAGCAATTAAGTGACACAGTTCCTGTATTTTCTGTTGACCTCAGAGGACAGGTGGTTTGTTTGGCCAAGTTGATACCTTCATGGAACCCAGCAGCCCTCTTCCACCTCATGTGGCAAGCCAGAGACCTCTGCAATTCTCCGAGATGGGAAGTGAAGAGTTAGATTCCCCTGTGTTCCTTGATGATTTCCCAGCAGGAGGAGGCACCAATGTGAACAACAGCAACAGCAATGCTAACAACAATGCAGCAGCCCGGTAAAACCTATTGTGGGAGACTGAAAAAAAAAGGCATGGGGGCAAAACACTCAGTATCAGCATTAATTTCTGGTTTGGCCATGAGTAATGATATGCAACCTAGAGAATGCATCAAGCAGAGTTTCTGAATCTGCAGATAAGAATTAAAACCAGATGTTCTCTTTGGCTTTCTTTAAAAAATGGGGAAACATTTGGGTGAGCAAAAATAGAACAAGAAAGATATTTAATCTTGGGAAGTAAACAGAAAGTTTCCTGCCCGTTTGCTATATCCAGAAGCAGTACCATGAGATAGTGAGTGTTGCTGCCACATTCCCTGGAAATGCTTCATCAGAAAGTGTTTAGAGACCCTACATAGAGACTGTACAGTGTAAATTTATGTGCGTGGCACCATGGGTTGAGAATGCCACAAGACACTTTTGTTGAACAACAACATTGCATGGCTGAATGCACACTTGGATAGAAGTGGGCTGTTTTAATTATTTATTCCTGTAGGATTACAAGAACAACCCAGAGCCTGTAGCACACATGTTGAGGGTGGTCTGAACTGTATTCATGGGTTTTATTGAACATATGGTTTAATGCTTTTCTAACATTTGTATTTCATATTGTTTTAGTGGTTCTGTTTTCATATATATCGTAAGCTGCTTTGAGTTCCATTGAGTGACAAGTGGGAAATAGAAATTAAATAAATACATATATAAAATACATAAATAAATAGAAAAGTGGTATAGAGATCAAATCAAGTGAATGAATAATAGCCCCTCACTAGCCCACAGTATCCACAAGGTGTTCCTGTTTGTTGTTACTTTAGTAGCCTTCATTTTTCATGATCTTTCTACAGAAAAAGCACTATTATGTATGAAAGGTATAGAAGCCAAACATGGGTTGCCATCCACTTTTGTCATAGTGCATACATGAGAAAAGAAATGTATGGAGAAATTTGAACAGAGTTACTCTCCACTGAAAACCAAAGCTTTAGAGTGCATCTACACTGTAGAAGACATGCAATTTGTCAACACTTTAGCTGCCATAGTTCAACGTTATGGGATCATAGGAATTTTAGTTTTACAAACTTTTTTGAAATTTCTTGCTAAGATTGCTGGTGCCTCACTAGACTACAAATCTCAGGATTCCATAGCATTGAGCCATGGCAGGTAAAGTGGTGTCGAACTACAAGCATTCTACAATTTAGATGCATCCCCAATTTAACCTGTACAAATAGTTGTTTTGGATGGAGTATTTACAATCATGCTTTCCCACTTAGGTTGATGTATGAAAATGAAACGAGAGAAGACAAGCTGCATCCACCATCTCCTCAGTCATCTGATCTAGGTGAGTTCTGTCAACCCTCCTCCCCCAATTCTTTTTGAAAAAGACATATTGTGACCAACAACCAAGATAACTATTACAGCCCATTATCTATATTCCATTGTCATGTATTTGAGGTTGAAATGGAGAAGAACTAGCTATTGCTTTGATGAAAGGGTCTGAAAGGGTCTGCATAATCCCGATGTTTTTATATTGATACATATTGGTTTATCATTCCCATTTTTTCTTCTGCTCGTGTTGTAAGACTGTTACAATGCTGGCATAACACAAATATTTCCACTATTCCTCATATCTTTTCCCTTCTCCAGCCAACAAATCCTATGTCCATCCTAAAAAGCATCAAGGAAAAAGGAATGAGTTACCAGCACATGGTATAAATAGCCATTCGGAAGTAGAATATTCCATCATGCAGGTAAATGTGAGCACCGGACCATTGCTTTAGTTTATCCAGTCAACTCTCTCAGTTTCTCTCTCTCTCTCTCTCTCTCTCTCTCTCWCWCWCWCWCWCACACACACACACACACACACACACACACACACAGAGTGGGCATTTTTATTGACTATACACCAGCCACATTCAAAAGACACAACGAAACACAGAAGAGCAGGCAGYTAATATTTAACTAAAGAGCCACAACTCCAGAAAACCTTCAGAAGTCTTGGCTTATTTACATTAGGAATAATAATAATAATAATAATAATAATAATAARAATAACAATAATAATAATCAACTTTATTTGTAGATCACCCTCTCTCCCCGAGAAGACTCAGGGTGGTTTACAAACAAAAAAGATAAACATTCAATGCCCTACACAAATACAAACATCTCAAAAAGAATACACAATAATACAAAACAATAACCATAAGCTTATGACAAAAGAGAAATTAACATAAAAATGATAATACGAATAATCAAATGAGCATAACTATACTGATAGTGTAATTAACAATTAAGACATAAACCTGGAGGAAAGCTGACTCTGTAGTTGCATTGGATTTTTAAAATAGCAGAAATTGGACTGGAAGGAGAACAACAACAACAGCAAAAGGGACATCACCTGTATTGTGCATAAAAGGCTGGCAATACCAAAGAAAGGGCTAGTATGGGAGCAGTTTTTGTCAGCAATAGCATTCACTGTGGTGCTCTGTCTAACCATGTTTGTCCACCCTATTCAGTTCATTGAAAATCCATTGCCCAGAAATAATGAATGGTCTTTCAGATTCCACTCCTCTGTATCCATACTTGGGTTTTCTAGTGCAGAAACTTACATGTCACATCCTCTCTAACACATTCTCACAGGTAGCCAATTGCTTATGGTAATCAGGACCCTTCCAGACAGGCCCTATATCCCAGGATCTGATCCCAGGTTTTCTGTTTATCCCAGATTATCTGGCCGTATGGACTCCTATAATCCAATTTAAAGCAGAAAACCTGGGATCAGATCCTGGGATATAGGACCTCTCTGGAGGGGCCCTCAGAGTCACAGAGATGGGCAGCTGCTGTCCTCTGAGTTATATGTGTTTTTTCCTTCTTTGCAGTTTCCCTCAAATAAATCACAGGAGGCAGGTGGTGATGAACCATCACAGTCTACAAGTACAAGTGAAGGAAAGACACAGAGAGATACAGGTGCCTCTTCTCCAGCTACTACCCAGCTCATCCAGGAGGTACACTTCTAAGTATTGCATACTTTTTAACTGGATCTACTTTCACTCTGGAATATGACAAATACTAGGGACAGTTTATTGTGCACAGTGGGTTCAGAAGGACAACCGTTACTTTGAAACAATTTCACTCACAAATGCCTGGATTCATTGTGGGTTCATTTTTTTAATGAAATGGTAAAACAATTGAAACATGTCTTGAAGGTATTTATTTATTTATTTACGATGTTTATAGCCCGCCTTTCTCAGCCATACGGCGATATCTGAAGATGCTTTTTTATATGCAGACAACAATGTCTAAAAGGCACTGACATATCATTTTATATTTTGGAGGATGGGAACTAAACATTTAGAGTGTAATCCTGTGGGATTAATTCCCAAGCAAAAGTGCTGGAAAATGAGTGAGATAACCCTGCAAAAGAAAGTGTTTCCCAAAACTGCTCAGAATCCCAGGCCTGTTCTACAATGTTTATCAGCCCTCTATTTTCAGCAACCTTGGAATGTTGCTTGTCTGAAGTGTGAGTTTGGGGTGAAGAGCAATCAAGAGGTGAAAAGTGTTATACATCAGCAGGAATAAGAACAAACCCCTGTTGTGGATATTGGTTTATAGGGCAAGATGTACTAGGGAAACTGTGAAGGGATACAGTCATCCAAGTGTGACAGCTTTTAACTTGCAAAGGAAAATTTCCTTGGGAGGGTCGAGAGAGTTGTCAAGAGTGACTTGACCTCTTTGCTGTTCCTTCCCTGAACATGAAAAGACCAGTTTCTACAAGCATCAGAACAAAGTTTTTTCTGAGTTTTATCATTTGAGCAGATGACTGACATGCAAGAGCAAAAATCAGTTATGGATATTGGGTACAGGGTGAGATACAATAAGGAAATAGTGACAGGACATGGTTATGTAATGTGTTGGTGTGACAAGTTTTAAATTGCAATGGAACCTTTCCATGAAAAGGCCAGTTTCTACAAGCATTATACCTTGGTTCTGAGAAGGGTGGGATTTTTATATTACAAATAAACAAAAAACAGAGGAACACCCATGAAACACCTGAGAGGGAAGGGCTGCACTCTGATCTTACTCTTGAATACTATTATTCTTTATCTGAGAAAGATTTCCTCATTCCCACGCCTTATTCAACTCCCACCTTCATTGGTAGGCAAAAATGATTCACTTATTCTGTTGATTTTTTTACTGCAGATTTTTATTTTATTTTATTGTTACGGTCACAGACCAAGAGATACTCTGAAATTGATCCTACTAGACAAGCAATGCCCAGTCATATATATCCCAATTGAGATGGAAGGAATTATAAAGGAATAATCTGTTCACCTAAACAAGGAGAAAGCACATACTTCTTTTCATCAGAGAAAAGGTCACACAGCTACAGAAAGAAGATCAAAAGAAACTATACAGGACCTCATCACACTAGAGCATGGATCTAGTGTATCTTTCTGTATATATTTCAGATTTTAATATTAATGTCAAAAATATGTAGTATGATTTAACATAGGATTTGTGCTACAATAAAACAGTAAAGCCAAATATCACTTAAGTAAAATAAACATTAAATATTCATTAACCAGAAAAATAAAATCCGGTTGCTGCTTCCTGCAGAATTCTGGGGTTTGTAGTTTAGGGAGGGGCCTTTAAAGCGCTCAGTCGGAGAAGTCCTGGGCCTCACTAAACTACAATCCTCAGAATTCTGCAGGAGGCAGAACCCAGATTTAAAGTGGAGCCATGCTCTAGTGCAGCGGTTCCCAACCTTTTTTTGACCAGAGACCAGTTGACCTCTCTCCGACATTAGTACCAAAACGGTAAAAAAATCAGTTTTTAATCAACTTTAGATTTGGTTTGGTTTTTTGGGGTTCTGATTCAGAAAATTGCATTGGATAGATCACATCAGTTCTAGTTTCTGATACAGAATATATGCCATCCAGTGGTCACCATCTGCTCACCCACAGAAAACCATATTCTGAGCTGCTTTAGAGCTGATGTGGTCTATCCAATGCAATTTTCTGAATCAACACCCCAAATAACCTCAGGAGAAGGCCTGAAAACGAAGACACCAGGGTGCCACATGGAATGGCTCCACTCGGGGGAGGGGGGAGGTGAGGAGAAGCAGCAGCCAGGAGGCTTGTTGTGCCTTTTTGGGTAGCCAGCCTCTCCCCTCCTGACATCCTCATTGCCTCGGCACTATAAGACCGTTTGCAAGACGAGTCACTCTCGTTGCAACGGTGTAGTAACAGTGAGCCCGCAGACCATATTTTAGTTCTTGCGGACCACTGGTGGTCCACAAACCACAGGTTGGGAACCACTGCTCTAGTGTGATGAGGCAAATAAGACTTCGATCAATACTTTGCAGAATGTATACAACCTTCTGTGATGGGGTTTATTGGGGTGATGTTACTTTTCTTCTCTCTCTCTCCCTCTCTCCGCATTTTTTTGCTAGTTCTTCTTAGAGCATGCTATGAAATTTGGCATTTATCTTTTGCTGTCATTTCTTTATCCACAACAAAGCTTGGTGACCATGCTGTGCCACTATATAATGGGCTATTTAAGAAGACAGATTTTGCTAAAAGCCCTGCTGCAATATCCCCAAAAGGTTTGACAAAGAAAGACACACGAAAGTGTCTGAAACATGAAGACTCAACCTTTTAATATGAAATATATAAGCACATCAACAGAGCACTACATAGTTAACTGCAGTCAAGGGTTCAAGCAGAGCAATTAAGCATGTAGCTGCATGGAAAACACTTCAGATTTTTTTTCCGATGGGCTTAGCGTAGTCCCAATTTATGTTTCATTTTCTTTCCTGTAGGCACTGACCTCTGGTGGACTCAACTCCTTAGCAAAAGACTATTCCTTCCTCAAAGTAGCAAGAGATGAGATGGCTGCTGCCTTCCAGATGGAAGTGACTGAGGTAGAGGAGGTAGCTGCCACATTGCTGAAGAAAAGAGAAAGCTCAACTACACCTCTGTAAAAGTCCCAGACTATGGCCATTACAAATACCAGATTGTAAAATTTTGTCCCCAGACCTTTTTTCTCTGGCAGTGCTGCTATGCAGAGTGACCTGTTTGTCTGCTTTGAGGAGGTTACCATGAAAAGTTGTCACTACTGTCACTTGACAGGTTGTTGATTGCAGCACGATGAGCAAATGGAAGAGATGGGGGAGGGAATACCTTTTTTCCCTTGAATGTCCAGAGAGGTGATTTTAGGAATGGGATGACCAGGATGTTTCAATGGGGGGCAATGGGGTATCTTTCATCAAAGCCCCTACACTTTTGCGAGGCTCCCCTTGCCCTGGCCCCGGCACTGTCACAACATATTGAAAAACACCCTCTGATAACTTTGTTCTAAAAAAAGTAACATTGGTTAAAAACTAGCATTTTTAATAAACTGAAAGACCCAAGAACGATGAGTTGTTTATTTACATGTACCTGACATTCTAATATGTATAGTCTGCTGTTTTTATTAATTACTATCAGATTCAATTTATGGCAACCTAAGAATGAGAGATCTTCATCAGCTCTACTCAGGTCTTGCAAACTCAAAGTTGTGGTTTCTTTGACTGAGCATATCTATGTGTAATATTATATTACTTTTTTACTACTACCTTCAACTTAACCAAGCATTATCATCTTTTCTAATGAGCCATGTCAGCTCATTTTAGTTTCTACTGAGTATTCAGGCTTGATCTGCTCTTGGACTAATGAATTCATCTTTTTTGTCAGTCCGCGGTATCCATTGAGCTCTCCTCCAGCCTCACATTTCAAATGAGTAAATCCTCTTTCTGTTGGCTTTTTTTTTTCACTGTCCAGCCTTCATAATGGTATATAGAAATTGGAAATACTAGGGCTAGGTTATTTTGACTTTGGTATTCAATGATATTTTACAGTTGGTGCGATATCTAGCCTACTCTTCAAAAAATGTTGGAAGGAAACATAAAAATCTTCATTGGTGAAACATCCAAAACCAATGAAATCTAAACACTAATCAGCTGTGAATCATATACATTTAGAGGGGAATGGGATTTCCATCCATTTTCACTAGCAGAGCTTCAGTACAAAGGCAGAGTAATAATTTTGAGGAACAATATCTGGTTTACTGACTCTTTTTTTATGATTTTATGTTATGGTTTGCCAATATTTTCCCAAGCCATTGCTTATGTGCATTTTGTGGCATAATGGAAATCACACATAGTTCATGTTTTATCAGTCCACACACTGTCCTACCTGAGAAAGAAAATATGCCACACAAGTGATCAGTAAAGAACAAGAAGTTTACTCTTCGTAATGCAGAGCAACATATATGCAATCATGTGAACAGTTGCATTGACTCACACAATATCCTTTTTGAGAGATTCAGATGATCTTTCAGTGTCCATGTGGAAGATCTTCTTCCAGTGGCAAATGAAGCAAGAACAATCTCTCTCTGCAAGCTCCTGCACAACTCAAGCCTAAAAATGTAACTGTTGCCAAAACTCTCAGGCTGAGCTAGCTCCCTGAGCGTAGCCCAACCAATCAGCTTCGTGCTTTGCATTTTCAGTTAACACACTCACTTTTACATGCCCTAACACCTTTAACATCTACAATATTATCAGATACTAACATTAGCAGATATTAATGCCTCATAGGGTCATTGAAAGCTTTGCTTGTTCACTGCAAAGAAAATAAATACCGTATTTTCTGGCATATAAGACTACTTTTTAACCCAAGAAAATCTTCGCAAAAGTCAGGGGTTGTCTTATATGTGGGAGTTGTCTTATACGCGAGAGTAGCCTTATACATGGGAGTTGTCTTATACGTGGGAATAGTCTAATACACCGGGAATCGTCTTATAGAGTGGGTGCTGAAACTTCCAATCCGGATTGGAGAATCTGTGGTTGCTGCATATGCTGGGGGGAGCTCAAAAATGGCAGTGGCCGCGTCCCTGCTATATGCAGCGACTGTATGAAAGTATTAAGGACGATGCTGTACAAATACGATAGATGAAAATCCATTCATCAGGATTTGTGGGATTAACATGGTCTCGATGGTGAGGTGAAGGGGCGTCCCACCGGGAAGGTGTAAGTGAAAGGCGGAGCAAGCTGCAGGCTTGCAGGGCACCCGGGGTATGGAAAAAAGAGATAGAGTGGCTCTGGGCCTAGAAAAACACACCTCTTTTACCTGTCTGGCCCGCCTTTGTATCCTATTACCGTACCTTCTCCTCTGCCTCTCAGATCTCACTCTTGAAGACTGCAGTCAAGTGGTGCAGGTGCGCATGTGTGAGATCTGAGAGGCAGCGAAGGAGGTACAGTAATAGGAAAATTACCATATTGAAATCAAATCTGATGCTTTTTAAATTTTTATTTGGTGTGCGTTGGAAGAGGTGTAGTCTTATACGGCGAGTATATCCCAAACTCTGTATTTTAATTGGAAAAGTTGGGGGTCGTCTTATAAACCCAGTCGTCTTATATGCCAGAAAATATGGGTACTTTGCTAAAGGCAACTCTTTTCTCCTGACAAAAGCACCTGAGATGGTAAACCACCCCCATTAAATCTTGTTGCCATTTTGCAAGTAACAGAAGCTCCGCAGTGCCTCTCCTGTCCAATATACCTCTCCTATTACGGCATATCATCCTCTCTCAATATTCAGTGTTTTCAAGAATCACAACAGCCCACTCTTTCCAGAACTCATTTCATCTCAACATTAATAAATATTAAAATACTGAGGAATTATGCACCCCCAGGGATGTGCTGAATCAACAGAGCTGGCTGCTTTCGCGGCTTCTATTTGTTAACTCGAAAAAAGGGAGAATGGGTGAGGGGCTGTTAGGAAGCAATGCACACATCCATGCCACTGTGTAAAGGGAACAGGAGACCTCTCTCTCCCTCTCTCATAGTTAAAGGAAACCCTCATCTCTCTGGAGGCCAAATTCTTATTAAAGCCAATGTCAGCAATGGAAAGCCCAGGAGCAACGAGCAGCCACATGCCCAGCTGTCCAAGGAATTGTTTCCATGTCAAAGCATTTAATTATAAATTAGTATTAGGAAGAGAGGCAAATGGCTGCAGAAGGAAAGTGGTAATAGGAGATGCTTTCCTTGCTTTTTTATAGCTAAGCCTTGAAATTTAGGATATTCTCTGCCATGCTTGCACTGCAGTTGCCCTTTGTCATTTCCCAGTCCTTTTAATTTTTACCCTTGTGTAATCTCTGCTATATTACATAATACATATCTGTAAAGAACAGTCTGGAGATAATTTAGGAGCAGAAGGCATAATGAGGAACAGAGACCAGGGTATTTACTCACAAGGAGAATCTTTCACAGGCAAGCACTCTCAACTTTGCTATTTCAAGGAAAAATGTTAATCACAGCTCATTATAATCATGGAACAGATGGGGACAAGCAAGAAGGCCTGTGGCCACAAAAGTAATGCCTGGCTCTCCTTTCTGTCTCCTGCTGCCTTTGTCAGTAAGGAGAAAATGCTCTTCATTTAATGCATGATGAAAAGAGTTACCATGCCAGGGAAGAGTTACAATACTCACCCAAACAGGTAGGAATGCTTCCAACCAAGCATCTGTCTCACATAAACTGTATAACCTATGAGCATAACCGGTCAATGTGGCTATTTTGACACCAATGATTTAGGGATGCTATGTTTGTTTTTGGCAAGACTCCTGCACTTCACTATTTCATATTATTTAACAGGAAATGATCTACCATATTATATGGTCAGTGTAGAGCCAAATAATGCTGTTTAAACTGCATTATTTGGAAGTGTAAATCCAGCCAGAGATATAGTATCAGATATAGAATCCAGAATTTTGCTTGATACCCTGCTATTAACAGATCAAAATCTGCTGAGGACAAAGGACCGAACTCAAACTACTCAAAGTGTGTTGAGTTAATCCAAGACACTGAGGCCCCATATATAATCCAGTTTCTGAATCCAGATTATCTGCTTTGAACTGGATTATATAGCAGTGTAGATTCATATAATCCAGTTCAAAGCAGATAATCCAGATTCAGAAACTAGATTATATGGTAGTGTAGATCCAGCCTGAGAGACCAGGTTTCAAGCACTTACTTGGCTGTGAAAATCTACTGGACTACATTTCACAAATCATACTCTTTTGGCCTCAGAGGACATCAAGGGCAATACCCCTCTGAACAAATTCTGCCAAGAAAGCCCTGTGGTTGGTTTGTCTTAAGGTCACCATAGGTCAGAAATTGCTTAAAGGCATAAAACAGGAGAGGCAACTACAAAAATCTATTCAATTGAGATGGATATTAAATAAGATGTAAGAATCAATGTGCCATTCATTCCCACAAGAAAGCTTTCAAAAGTTATTATAAAATAAATATACATTAAGAAGTACATTTGGAGGGTAATGGCAAGCTGGAAAATTGACTTGTCAGTGAGTCCATTAATTAATCAACCCATCATGCTTTCTATGTCAAGACAAATAATGATTAGATTTCCTGTTGTCACTTGTTGACAGAGTTATTTTCCCAATGGTGGCCAAGTTGTTTTCCTCTCAACTGATTCTTAAGGTCATGTATTTTAAACAGTAAATTTCTAGTGTAGCCGTGTAGAACCAAAATTGTGGCAGAAATGGGAAGGCAAGCTAATACACACTCTTTTTTCAGTCTTTGTTGAGAAGAGGCATGTTGACAACATACAGTATTACTTCCAGAGAAATGAAAATGATTCACTACAGAATGTTTTGGGGTTTTTTTTGCCAGCTGTTATTCAGCATTCAACATTCAGCATCCCAAGAAAAATTCAATAACTAGAAAGTGATAGCACTTTTCCTCAGCAATAAATATGATGGTTCTACTAGATTCTACCCATCGTACAGTTTGTCGCTCATAAAGCATCACTCATCATATAATGTGCTGTAATAATAATAATAATATTCATATTCATGTTGGATGTTAACTAAGGTTAATAATTCTGAAGTACTGAATGTGTAATTAAGAGTTACAAAACATAAACTCCTAGGCAGTTTCTCCAATATCATTTCCTGATTGCTCTATGAGCAGAATGGTATGACTAGCTAATGCCAATTAAGCTGACATTTATGCAAATCTTCTTTGCCATGAAGCCTTATTCAGTGTCTCTATCAGACTGGAAGCTCATCCCAAGGGGGCAACTTAAATGACTTCCAGCATTACAATCAGGACTGCAGCGAGATTTGGAAAACTGGGGGGAATATCTAATTATCATAACCACTATAGCTATAGCATTATGAGGGATATAGGGTAAAGGTTTTCCCCTGACATTAAGTCCAGTCATGTCTGACTTTGGGGATTGGTGCTCATCTCAATTTCTAAGCTGAATAGCCGGCATTGTCCATAGACACCTCCAAGGTAATGTGGCCGGCATGACTGCATGGAGCTCCATTACCTTCCTTCTGGAGTGGTACCTATT